CATAACTGAACTGACTCATTTCAAAGCGACACCTTTTGTTCAGAGGGTGAAGACCAAGCTGCAGCTCTGCTCAGTCCTTTGGTCCTGTTGAAGGAAAAAAAGAGAATCTGCAAGCAAGCAGACATGCAAAAGTCATGCAGGCTGTCAGCTTAGGGGGAAGAGGAATAAATCATGGCTGTGTTACAGGAAACGCTGCGAATCCTTGAGTGTCCTTCAGCACCTCACATACACACCAACCATCAACACTCACACAGAAACGCTCCTTTATCTCGAGACCTTCACAAACTGATCCCCCAGCCGGAAAGTGTTTATGTTGGACCTTCAGACCAGAATTATGTCTTTTGTGCTTGATAACAGGGTGGATCTTTATATCCTAGACAGAAATAAAACACACTCAGTTACAGTAAATCCGCCTTATACGTGTATATAATCCAACAGCATTCCCTAACTTGCTGGAGGGTAAGCTGTGTTTAGAACCCATTGATTTCCTGTATAAATCCACCTCCTGCTGTAACTTCAGGTGTCATTTTAGGCTCCAGTCTGCACCGAATGAAAACATATTTAAAGAAAAGCAGTGCTGCTGCATAAATGTAGAGGAGAGCCTGTGCTCCAGGCAGGACGTCCCCTAAGATCTCCCTCTGCAGTCAGGAATGCAGAACACCTCCAGCCACCTGTCTGCTCCACAAAACCAGAGGATCCTCAGCTCCTTCCTAACAAGTTAAAAATCATATTCCAGAAATTATTTAAATCTACATTTGCCGTTCAAATGTTCCCTGTCATTGGATGTGGCTGTAATTCAAGCACAAATAGGTTGAAGGTGATTTAATTTTAGAAGAACAGGTCCTCACTGCTGATTATGTTTTTATCAAAAAGTTTTTAGTTTTTTTTTTTTTTTTTTGAAAATCAGCTTAGAAATTTTCCAATCCCCAGCCTCACTATTTCTGTAACCATAGTTACCATGTCTCACTGCCGCCCACATAAAGCACAAGGGAGAGGAAGCTGGAGGATTGCTGCTGACCTGACAGCTGCAACATATATTGATATAAACTACAGAGAAATAACCTCGCTCTGCAAAAAAAATCTAGAAATAAGTAAAAAATCTCTCAAATTAAGTGTATTTGCCCTTAATTTGATTTGGTAAATGAGATAGTTTGCCAATGGAATGAGAATTTTTACACTTAAAATAAGATATTTAGATAATATGCACTTGAAATAAGACAATGCAATTGTTTTTTCTTATTTCAAATGTAATGTTGTCTGGTTCTATTGCACTGCAAAAAATAGAAATCTAAATAAGTCAATCTGTCTTAAAATAAGTATATTTTTTCTTGAATTGAACAGATAAGGTCGACACTTTGCCAATGGAATAAGACAATTTATATTTAAAATAAGAAAAAACAACCGCAGTCTCTTATTTAAAGCGCATAATATCTAATCGTCTTATTTTAAGGCTAAAAATACTCATTCCATTGGCAGATCATCTTATTTAACTACTCATATTAAGGTTAGATACTCTTATTTTGAGAAATTATTGCTCAGTTTTAGATCATTTTTGCAGTGTGGCAAAGTGTTTAACTTCCATCCTCAATTCAAGAACAAATGCATTTATTTTAAGAAAAAATGTCTTATTTAGATTTCAGTTTTTTGCTCTGCTCTCAGGCCTGATACCGTCTGCAGACGTTTTCCCTTCAACTCTCCACCTTCTGGAACACAAAGTTTGGTGTTTTTCAGTTCATAAAATTAAACCAGATCTCTGTCAGTTTTCCAGAGTGTGAGAGGAGGAAGTCAGACTGTGGAGAGACACAATGGCAGGAGAAGCTCAGCAGGCATAAATGAAAAAAATAACCTGATCAACGCTGACGTCTACACCAAAGTTTGGACACCAAAGGCTTCTGGGTAAACGTTTCATTTCAGCCCTGCTCGTATCCTGTCATCAGAACAAGAACCATCTGGAGGGGACGGTGTTATTATTAAAATACGGGAACTCCTTCTTTTCATTTGCAATTAAACTTCTAACTGAAGCTTAAGAAGGATTAAACCCAAATATTCCCAAAGTGGAACAATACCAGGTTGTAATTTTGAAGTCATAGCGAAGAAGGATTCGATAACCAGCCCGGTTAGAAGATAAGTGCCGATGGCTTCTTCCACAGTTTGGCACTAATGACCATTTTTGCTAACTTTACCCGCTGTCCATGTCTGAATGTTTTCAGATGGATTTAGATTAGACAAACATGGAAGATCCTTCTTCTGGAAGATGTCCTTTGTCACATAGGATGTGAAAATCCGACCCAACTGCAAAAACCATCTGGAAATAAGTAAATAAATTCTTATATTTAGGGTATTAACCCTTATTTAAGTGTCTCACTTACCACGTCAATTGAGGAACAAATGCACTTATTTTAAGAAAAAAATGGTTTGTTTATATTTCATTTTTTTGCAGTATGACTAAACATCTCTAATATATTTGTAAAAAAGCTGAAACTACGGCTGGGGTTTCATTTTAGAAATAAAACTTGTTTTAACATGTCAGCCAGAGAATTGTGCAGGCTATTTTTTAAAGTGTTTTGGACTATGGTGATGTTGTCAACATGCATGCTGCTTCTAGTACTCTCCTTCTGTTAGATTCTGTGTACCATAGTGCTTTGCGCTTCTTAACTAACTCCTATTCCCGTACTCATCATTGTACGCTGTATGAACTGGTAGGCTGGCCGTCACTAAGTCTACGTAGACAACTTCATTTGTATATTTTTCTATACAAGGCCATGTTGGGTAAACTGCCGGCAAATTTATGTAATCTCCTCAAGCTAAATTCCAGCCATTTTCATCTCCGTTCCACCAGGTGGCGCTCTTACCAGGTTCCAATGGTTTTTACTGAGCTGGGGAAGAAATCCTTCTCTTACTTTGCTCCATGGTCCTGGAATAATTTGCAAAACTTGCTCCATTTAAATGATCTAGTCCCATTGAATGAATTTAAGGCCATGTTAAAATGTCATGTAATTCAAAAATGTAACTGCCCTATGTGACCTGTCTTTTCCTCTACGTGAGATTTTGTCTATGCTGTATTTCTGTTTGTATTTTATCTGGTGTGCTGTCTTGGCCAGGTCTTTCTCGAAAAAGAGATTTAAATCTCAAGGGACTTCCTGGTTAAATAAAGGTTAAATAAAATAAATATGGGTTTTATATTTTATGTTCTTTGACAATCATACGAGTTTTGTAAGTTTCTGTTGAGAGCATGATATAATTTGCTTTTTGTACTTACAAGCTCTTGGTGCCATGCTCTGACCATGCTGACCATGATGTAATTTGTTGTTGTTTTTCGGCTGTCCATGAGCCCTGGGTTGGTTCGGGGGGTGCCCGTTCCATATTTTTGTTTCTGTATTCATGCGCTCCAGGCGTGAGAGGGAGCGATCACTTTTCCTGATTGGGTGAAAGATTTTCCTTTGAAGTTTGGCATAAATGGCGAGTGGCGGTTGCCACTGGCAGAGTCTGTTGGGTTTCGTACGAACGCCTAGCTGCACAGGTTGCTGCCCTGCTGGGGTCGACTGGCTCACCCCAATGCTTTTCTGTCATTCAAATACAAACAATTGTATTTCCAATTTATAGTTTGGGAGTTGAACTTGCTTTAATTCAAAGATGTCATTTCAGGCGGAATTTGCTTAATGGATTAATGGATTAAGAGTGGTAATTTCTTGATAAACTGACCACACATAGATAAAGTTTAGAGGTGTACTTCCTCACTTAAAACTTAATGTATGAAAACAACATTTGTACACTCTCCATCAGCTGCTGCTGTCAGAGCTAAGCACTACAGCTGTATATAAAAAAAAAAAAACGTCCCTCAACAAGCTCAAGGGAAGCTAGAAAGTCTTGGATCTGTATGAAAATATCCAGATAAATGTGTTGGAAACACCAGCCAGGCTTTCAGAAACCCCAGGCTGCTGAGTGGCATTAGGAAAGGGTGCTAACAGAGCTTTAACATGCTCAGGCCATCAGACCACAGACCCCTATGTGGAGCACTTCTAGAACGATATAGAAATAAGCATAAATTTCTTTAATCAACTGTATTCACTCTTAATTTGAGAGGGAGGTACTCGGAGTAGAGCCGCTGCTCCTCCACGTCGAGAGGAGCCAGTTGAGGTAGATCGGGCATCTGGTTAGGATGCCTCATGGACACCTCCTTGGTGAGGTGTTCCGGGCACGTCCCACCGGGGGGAGGCCCCGGGGAAGACCCAGGACACGCTGGAGAGACTGGCCTGGGAACGCCTTGGGGTTCCTCCTGAGGGGCTAGAAGAAGTGGCTGGGGAGAGGGAAGTCTGCCTCCCTTCTTAAGCTGCTGCCCCCGCGACCCGACCCCGGATAAGCAGAGGAAGATGGATGGATGGATGGATGGATGGATGGATGGATGGATGGATGGATGGTTTCTTCTAGTATTTTCAAAAATAGATTAATATTCTCTTTCTATTTCTGTACTAAAATCTATTTGACATGGTTTCATGTAAAATTTTAATTGTGCCGGTGAAGATTCTCAGTCTCACTGGTTCCAAAAAAAGTTATAAAACAATCCTCTGGACTTTGTTTCCAAGTTTGAAGATTTTTCTCTTCTCTGTAATTCAATTCAAAATGTCAGAAATAGCCTTGAGTTCCAGGCTTTTTGTTTTTGTTTGTTGGTCCACTCTATAAGGCCTGTAACTCAACGCTATTTCTGACATTTTGAATTGAATTACAGAGAAGAGAAACATCTTCAAACTTGGAAACAAAGTCCAGTGGATTGTTTTATAACTTTTTTTGAAAAATTTGAATTTGCATTTTGGTTTTCAACAAATTCTCCTTATTCTAGATAATCAACCATAACTGCCTGAGATAAATCCTGCTCTGTGTGATCTAGGTCTATAAATTCAGCTTACTGAAATAATGAAGGGTCCTGATTCAGTGAAACACACCTGCAGGTTGGAGAACAGGGGAGACACTCCACCTGAGGGGGGCAGCAGTGCGCACATTGTGGCCCACATTGAAGCTAACAGAAGAAGAAGAAGCAACAGTCCTCCTCATCTCGTCTTCCGGTGAAGGTTCAGTCTTTTCGGAGAAGATGGCGGACACAGAAGGTGAGTGTGCGGCACGCGGGTCACATTTTAGTCATTTCTCATCAAATAATGATAAACTTTAAACTTCCTCTCGTCATTTGGAGGAATTTCTCTCTAGAAAATGATCTAAATATATAATCTGGGTTATTTTATCGCAGCCATTAAGCTGCTAGTCTAAAGTGTAGCTCAGATTATTTGTTATTTTAAAGCTATTCTGCAAAAAAACATGCTTAGATCCAAACTTTACGCATTTAGGTAAGTGACTTAGGGTAAACATTTTATTTTTTAATGGTGGAGCACCAGGCGCGTGAACTATGCCTGCGTGGAGTGGGGAAACACGTGGTGAGAATCGGACCTGTGATCCACCGGATCCCACTCACCAAATCAACCAGTGAAATGATGATTACAGGAAAACTAAAAACGAAGCGCTGTCATGGCTGAAAAGTTTGTTCAGATTTTAACCCGCATCACTGTAGAACAGCTTTAATATAGACATAGTTGAACCGATCTGTGTCTAATCTATTTTATTCTATTCTATGCCGGTGGATCAGCCAGTCTGTCAGTAATCGACGTTAAGCTTCTCTTTATTTGGCGGATTTTAAACCTCAGTGGCCTGCTAGCTGCAGAGCTAGCTGCTGCGCGGGGCAACACGTGCTGTTTTCAGCACGTGGTCCTTCAGTGGGAACGCATGAAGAAGAATGTGTGGCCCCTCCTCCCCTACTCTGCAGCTAAACCTGCAGAGTGTCCATATCAGGAATCCCCAAAGTCTGTCCTCTATGGCTGCAGGTATTAGAGGTTTCCTTGCTCCAGCACAGCTGATTTTAATTGAAAGCCGATTAACAGGCTTTTGATCTACTGCAATCATTATAATCAGCTGTGCTACAGCAGAGAAACCTCTAAAACCTGCAGGACAGCGGCCCTTGAAGACAAAGTTTGGGGATGCCTGTTTTAGAGGTTTCTTTGCTTCAGCACATCTGATTTCCATTGATAGCTGATTATCAGGCTTCTGCTGAACTACATTAATCAGAATCAGCTGTGCTGAAGCTCAGAAACCTCTAAAACCTGCAGGACAGCGGCCCTCCAGGACCGCCTTGGGGATGCCTGAATTTGATGGAAGAATCTGGATGAATACTGAGGAGGTAGCAGCCATATGCATCAGGTGTGTCGGACCAAGAGTGAATCTAAAAGCTGCAGGATGCCAACCCTCAGGAACTGGAATTGCCAACACAACCAAGTGTTGAAGTTTATTTCAGAGGCTCTGACCTTAGCTCCCAGATTTGCTCCTTAACCAGAGGAAACCCAGGGTTTCAGCGGGTCATTTTAAATTATGGCCTTAATTGGCATTAAAATTTATTAAACGTGTTTATTGTGGCATTTAAAATGCTTTATTAAAAATGTTAGACATATTAGACATATTATATCACGGTATATTTGCATGGAACTGCTGCCGGCGGATCGCAAAGCTGTATGTTCAGAAAAGAAGCTTGAGTCTGAGAAAGAGAGCAAATTTCAACTAAAGTGGTTGGAAAACGAGGATGCAGCCTGACGGCGGCATTAAAATAATTTCTAAGAGCATTAAAAAGCATTAAATTTGAGTTATTTATTCCTGTATAAACCCAGTTTATAGAAATGGATGAACCGTTTAACCTGAACCACAAGCAAATATGTAGAAACCGAAGAGACCAACAGTCTCTGATCTTCAGCTCCACGTTTTGCCGATCAGTCTGCAGCCATTATTTCTACATGGAGCTAATGTTAAAGAGTTACTTTGATCCAACCATGTTTTCCTTCTGTGGTTTCAGCATCCGTAAAGAAGAAGAAGAAGTCGAAGAGAATCAGCGAAGGAGTAGTCGGGGTTTGTGGAAACTTGACCTGAAGCTTTACGGTGTGCCGACTTTCTTCTCTGGATGTTTAACCGTTTGCTTCTGCTTCTCAGGAGATCCAACAGAGCGGAGACTTCTTCATCAAGCCAGAGTCGACGGCGGCTTCTCTAGAGACGTCACAGTGGCCCCTGCTGTTAAAGGTCAGAGGCCACAGAGTGGGGGGGTGTTTGGGGGTTAGAACCAGCAGGATGATGTGAAATGATGAAGCAGTTTATCCATTCGCTGAGTGCCGCCGTCCTGTTGCAGTCCTTGCCTCTGCTTCCGTTCTGGGGGCGGGGCCTCTCCACCGGGGTGCTGGCGGTATCATGGCGTTCTGCCAGACGACCGCCAGAAGCCCCACGGGGGGTGTGACTCAACCAGGCTGCGGCCAAGACGACTTTCTGCTCTGATCACATTGAATCGGTTGAAGGGTCAGATCAGGGCCTCCAGTGGGGGGCAGCTGTAGGCGGTTCTGCTCCCGTCGGCTGCAGATCAGGAAATCAGACGGCTCATTTAATCAATTAGAATCGGATAGAAAGCAGAAAGGTTCAGTTTCACAGGTTGGGGTTGGTTAATGTTTGGGAGCCGTTTCCTGTCTGTTCCAAATATGGTTAAAACGTCTGATCTGTTTCCTGCAGAACTTCCATAAGTTGAACATTCGAACGGCCCATTACACACCGATACCATGCGGGAGCAACCCCCTGAAGAGGGACATCACCAACTACGTCAAGTAAGTCGGTGCCGACTCGCCGCCTGTGCCTGGTCACGAGTGGTTCTGATCGGCTGGTTTCTGGTCCCATCAGGTCCGGCTTCATTAACCTGGACAAACCGGCCAACCCGTCGTCTCATGAGGTGGTGGCGTGGATCCGAAGGATTCTACGGGTGGAGAAGACGGGTCACAGTGGGACGTTGGACCCCAAGGTCACCGGCTGTCTGATCGTCTGCATAGACCGCGCCACACGGCTGGTCAAGTCCCAGCAGAGCGCTGGTGGGTTCTCCTCAATGACTGAATCTGACTGGTGGCGGGCGCCAGAAATGCCCCATCTGTAAGCCTGTGTTCAGACGGGGATGGGAACAGCATGAAGAGTCACGCCTTCTCTGCTCTGGGTTGCAGGTAAAGAGTACGTGGGAATCGTTCGGCTGCACAACGCCATCGAGAATGAGCACACTCTGGCCCGGGTAGGTTCTTCTGGGTGCTACAATCTGCTGCAGATTTCTGCCCCACAGCGGTGAAACATCTGATGTTCTCCTGATGTCTGCAGGCCATGGAGACGCTGACCGGAGCGCTGTTCCAGCGGCCGCCGCTGATCGCTGCCGTCAAACGCCAGCTGAGGGTCCGGACCATCTATGAGAGCAAGCTGATAGAATATGATCCAGAGAGGAGGCTTGGTGAGGAACCACTTGGTCTTTCTGCATTTAGAGAAGGTTCTCATCAGCAGCTCTGTCAGGCTGAGATTGGAGCCGTTTTTACTCCCACTCCACCCTGAACCTTATCCATTTATCGGCTGTAAAAAAGGAAGATTTGTTTATCTGATGTCGTCTGTAGTTCAGGGAAGGGACCAATAAGTTTTCATCAATCTAGTTTCGTCCAAATCGACTTATTTGATTCAATTTTTTTCATCAGAACGCTGATCCAAAGTTTTTAATGGTACTTTAGGTTTTTTAATGTGAACCTTTTTGGTCTTGGAACACAACTAGTTCTGCCTGAGGTCCAATCAGTCCCTTTCCAGTTAGAACCAGGGTCGGCTGCAGTGGCTCAGACTCCATCCTCATTTTATTTATTTACAGGCATCTTCTGGGTCAGCTGTGAGGCTGGGACCTACATCCGGACCCTGTGTGTCCACCTGGGCCTGCTGCTAGGTGTGGGAGGTCAGATGCAGGAGCTCCGCAGAGTTCGCTCCGGAGTCCTGGGAGAGAAGGTGAGAAGGACTTCCTGTTTCCAGGTCCAAAGCGTTGAGTCCAGCTCTGCTGTTCAGTGCCGAGTTGTTAATTAGACTTTGGAAGAGCAGAAAGCAGCGGAGACGCGATGGTCAGAGATTCCTGACCTTTGAGCCTCAGTGCTGCTAACAAACGACCCGTCTGTGCTTTCAGGACAACATGGTGACAATGCACGATGTTCTAGATGCCCAGTGGCAGTTTGATCACAATAAAGATGAGACGTATCTGAGGAGAGTCATCTTCCCCCTAGAAAAGCTGCTGGTGTCGTACAAGCGGCTAGTGATGAAGGACAGCGCGGTGAGTCTTCCTCAGGACGGTAGATGCGCGTCGCTCTGCTGCTGCCTCAGAGGTTCTAACCTTTTCATCCGTCTGCAGGTGAACGCCATCTGCTACGGCGCAAAGATCATGCTTCCTGGGGTCCTCCGCTACGAAGACGGCATTGAGGTCAACCAGGACATCGTCGTCATAACGACCAAGGGCGAGGCCATCTGCACAGGTGAGGGTTGGTCCCAGCGGGCCGAGGAGTGGAGGCCACATGATGAGTTGAATAGATGCAGCAGCTTTCGAGCAGTGGTGACCTGCTATCTATCACCCTTACCTGATGGCGTTCATCAGGACGTCTAACCTGACGGACAGATCGGCCAATCAGACTGAAGCTCCTCCTCTTTTCTCACAGCCGTAGCTCTGATGACGACCGCTGTCATTTCTACATGCGATCACGGCGTCGTTGCAAAGATCAAGAGGGTCATCATGGAGAGGGACACGTATCCTCGCAAGTGGGGCCTGGGTCCTAAGGTACGGCTGGAGCTCCAGGTTGTTCTGTTTTCAGTCTGTTTGTGCTGTGGTCTGATGGATTACGTTTTCTTTGAATCAGGCGAGCCAGAAGAAGATGATGATCCAGAAGGGGCTCCTGGACAAGCATGGGAAACCCAACGGCAGCACGCCACAGGACTGGAAGGAGCAGTACGTGGACTACAGGTAGGCGTAATGCTGGCGAGCCCCGGTTCTCTGCAGAGAGTTATCCCAGTCTGAGCTGACGTGCTCTTTCAGGGAGTCACTCTGCTAAAGCAACGCTCTGCTGGGCGTCTGCGCTCAGCAATCAGCTGAGGGTTCAGCCCAGCAGAGAACAGATGGTTCTACGGACGGCTCTGACCGTCTCTAAACACGTCTAACCTAAATGTTTTTCTCTTTGCAGCGTTTCTGGAGCCGCAGCCTCAGGCGACGCTTCAGCGAAGGTAATGCTCCTCTTTTCAGGAACATTGTTTTTGATTCCATTCTCCTGATCAGAGAAAATTTTAATCGAGAAAGTTTGTTTAACTTAACGCATGTCCAGCCATCAGTACGCTTTAATATAACACTGGTTAAACTTTTACCGATATAGATGTGTTATAAATCCTTACAGTTTAGATTATCCATTAAAAGAACACAGCAAGCACCAAAGAAAAATTAATAAAGATATAGCAGCATGTTTAATAAAGCTTTGACTTCCTCCCTTTGAAGCGATCCTGAAGTTGTATTATAAATCCAATCCTTATTGATATTCCATTTGTCCGTTAGCGTCCACGGATTAAAAGTAATCCATAAAATCTAATGCTAAAATGGGTAAAATTGTTAAAAAAGCAATAAGCACAATTTGGAATAATTTGTCATATTTTGGAGACGCTGACTCCGGAAGTACGTCCCTTATCTCTAGGACCGTTACACCTAGAAGTCTGGAATGTTCTGCAGTTGTTGACATGATGCAGAATAATTGTAAAACAACAACATGCCTGTCAAACATATCCTTCTTACTGCTATATAAAAAAAAACTGAGTCATGTTTGAACTGATGCAGTTTAGCCTGTGTTTTAGTCGCACTATTTTCATTTATATTTTTAGAAACAAATTAGCTTTCAAATTATGTATCATGTGTTTAATTTGGGCTTAAAGTTCCTCAGTTATTTGCTTTTCTACATGTTTATGCAAAAAGGTGAAGATTATTTAAGACAAGGTGGATATTAAGAGGATTAACTGGGAATTTCTGCATGAGCTGATTTAATGCCTGGTAAAATAGCGACCATGTTTGGATCATTGATCGTTTGTCCCTTTGATCTCCAGAGGAAGAGGGAGGCAGCGGAGAGTGACGGAGAAACGGCCCAGCCCAGCACGCCGTCTGCAGACGAAATCAAGAAGGAGAAGAAGAAGAAAAAAAAGGAGAAGAAAGCCAAACTGGAGGAGGCGGAGGCGGAAAAAACGGAGGAGGAGCCGGACACGCCGGTCAGTCCCACATCGCATCACTTCTCCCTCCTGGAAACGCTGCAGATGGTTGATTGTGAGCTTTGTCTTCCAGGTGGTTGAAAAGCCCAAGAAGAAGAAAAAGAAACAGAAGGAGGGCGACCCGTCAGAGTGACCCCCGCCTCATCCGCTGAGCGTCAGCACACGGTGCTAACGGACTGAAACTTATGTCCAGGACGGACCGCCGGCTTCAACATTTGACCACAGTTTCTAACCGGTAGGAAACAGGAAGTCCCATCGCCGCCTTTGGTGGAGCAGCCGTCTCTGGGTTCACTCTGTTGCCTCCGTCCCCTCAGACCAGATACCTGGAGGACAGCACCCCTGGCCATGAGCAGGGGGGCGGGGCTTATTGAGGAAGATGAAAGAACATCTTTGTGTATAAAACTGATCAATTTATTTCAATCTGTAAATATTTTACTTTTTTATTTTGAAATAAAAAATGTGTTCTGTATTTTTCTTCTGTCTGACCCGCCTGGTTCTGCAGAACCTGATGTCTGTTTGTCCCTCTGGACCTTTTAGTGCTTTACTGAATACTTCAAAAACCTTTAAATCTCCAAGTTTTCTGCTTAAATCAGCAAAGCGACAGATCAAAGATAAATCTTGATGTAGAAAAAAAAACAAAGTAGCTGCTGAAATGGTTCCTTCCCCTAACTTTGATTTGGCTGCCAGAAAACTGCTCTGCCTCAAATCTTTTGCAACAGGATAATTAAGTTTTTTTTTTTTTTTTGTGTGAACACAACAGGCCGTCCTCAGCTGCTCATGGTCTGAATTCAGTGAAGCCCTTTGACTCCTTGCTTTTTGTTGATTCCTACAGTAGAACATTATCATAGAGGTGCTGGTTATCAGGCAACCTGAACAGATGAAACCAGTTTAAAATGTTTTGTAAAATTTACAATCGAAATGCCTCTCGAGATGTGTCCTCTTCAGACTAAAATGTGACAACCTCGTTTTCTAAACCTAAAATCAAGGAAACGGAGTTTCCTCTGTATCTGTTGCCATAGTAACATCCTCCCAGAGCTAACCTGGTCAGCAGCAGGTTTCCAACAGTAAACTCCGTCAGATTTTTGTCAGCTGTGTGCATAATATATATACATATATCATTCACTAGGTTAGACACATTAGGTCTTAAAAACAAACATTTCATGTCCGTTTGAGGATCCTATTAAAGAATGATCAGCACTTTTTCACAGAGAATTAAATATTAATAGGGAGAGGATTCTACAACTCAGTAACAGGATGGATTACTGGTTTTTGGTTTGTTCAATATGTGGGAGATGCAGATCTTTTTAGTTATATTTTCAGTACATGAACTGCTGAAATTATTTTCAGGTTACACATACAGGTGCTGGTCATAAAATTAGAATATCATGAAAAAGTGGATTGATTTCAGTAATTCCATTTAAAAAGTGAAACTTGTATATTATATTCATACATTACATACAAACTCATATATTTCAGATGTTTGTTTTGTTTAATTTTGATGATTACAAATGACAACAAATGAAAATCTCAAATTCATCATATCAGAAAATTAGAATATTGTGAAAAGGTTCAAAATTGATGGCCCCTGGTGCCACACTCTAATCAGCTAATTAACTCAAACCACCTGCAAAAGCCTTTAAATGGTCTTTCAGTCTAGTTCTATAGGCTACACAATCATGGGGAAGACTGCTGACTTGACAGTTGTCCAAAAGACGACCATCGACACCTTGCACAAGGAGGGCAAGACACAAAAGGTCATCGCTAAAGAGGCTGGCTGTTCACAGAGCTCAGTGTCCAAGCACATTAATAGAGAGGCGAAGGGAAGGAAAAGATGTGGTCGAAAAAAGTGTAAAAGCAAGAGAGATAACCGCACCCTGGAGAGGATTGTGAAACAAAACCCATTCAAAAATGTGGGGGAGATTCACAAAGAGTGGACTGCAGCTGGAGTGAGTGCTTCAAGAACCACCACACACAGACGTATGAAAGACATGGGTTTCTGCTGTCGCATTCCTTGTGTCAAGCCACTCTTAAACCACAGACAGCGTCAGAAGCGTCTTGCCTGGGCTAAAGAGAAACAGGACTGGACTGCTGGTGAGTGGTCCAAAGTCATGTTCTCTGATGAAAGTAAATTTTGCATTTCCTTTGGAAATCAAGGTCCCAGAGTCTGGAGGAAAAGAAGAGAGGCACTTCATCCACGTTGCTTGAAGTCCAGTGTAAAGTTTCCACAGTCAGTGATGGTTTGGGGTGCCATGTCATCTGCTGGTGTTGGTCCATTGTGTTTTCTGAGGTCCAGGGTCAACGCAGCCACATACCAGGAAGTTTTAGAGCACTTCATGCTTCCTGCAGCTGACCAACTTTTTGGAGATGCAGATTTCATTTTCCAACAGGACTTGGCACCTGCACACAGTGCCAAAGCTACCAGTACCTGGTTGAAGGACCATGGTATCCCTGTTCTTAATTGGCCAGCAAACTCTCCTGACCTTAACCCCATAGAAAATCTATGGGGTATTGTGAAGAAGAAGATGCAATACACCAGACCCAACAATTCAGAAGAGCTAAAAGCCACTATTAGAGCAACCTGGGCTATCATAACACCTGAGCAGTGCCACAGACTGATCGACTCCATGCCACGCCGCATTGCTGCAGTAATACAGGCCAAAGGAGGCCCAACTAAATACTGAGTGCTGTACATGCTCATACTTTTCATGTTCATACTTTTCAGTTGGCCAACATTTCTATAAATCCTTTGTTTTTATTGGTCTTCAGTAATATTCTAATTTTCTGATATGATGAATTTGAGATTTTCATTTGTTGTCATTTGTAATCATCAAAATTAAACAAAATAAACATCTGAAATATATGAGTTTGTATGTAATGTATGAATATAATATACAAGTTTCACTTTTTAAATGGAATTACTGAAATCAATCTACTTTTTCATGATATTCTAATTTTATGACCAGCACCTGTAGATTTAATTCCGCAGGGGAAAAGGAATTTAAGGTTAGGATTCACTCAACCTAATGAGTAAACTGCCACAATCTAATGCCTTTCTATGGGCCTGATAGCCTCTAATAACGGACATTTTTTCGGCAAGCAGCCACTTAACTGTGCAAAATAAGACAGAATCAATATGAGGAGAAACCCATGAGACAATCCACAGGTTCTATATATTTGAACCTGTTAAGTCTACCTTTTTTAGCCTGCTGAAAAAAGATTTCACCTGAACAGATACATTGATCTCAGGGGTGGACTTAGGAAATTTTTCACCCTAGGCAAAGACAGGCAGGGGGCCCTCTGAATGGAGAAGACAACATATAAAACAGACCCATTACAGGTGCTGGTCATAAAATTAGAATATCATGAAAAAGTAGATTGATTTCAGTAATTCCATTTAAAAAGTGAAACTTGTATATTATATTCATACATTACATACAAACTCATATATTTCAGATGTTTATTTTGTTTAATTTTGATGATTACAAATGACAACAAATGAAAATCTCAAATTCATCATATCAGAAAATTAGAATATTGTGAAAAGGTTCAAAATTGATGGCCTCTGGTGCCACACTCTAATCAGCTAATTAACTCAAACCACCTGTAAAAGCCTTTAAATGATCTTTCAGTCTAGTTCTATAGGCTACACAATCATGGGGAAGACTGCTGACTTGACAGTTGTCCAAAAGACGACCATCGACACCTTGCACAAGGAGGGCAAGACACAAAAGGTCATCGCTAAAGAGGCTGGCTGTTCACAGAGCTCAGTGTCCAAGCACATTAATAGAGAGGCGAAGGGAAGGAAAAGATGTGGTCGAAAAAAGTGTACAAGCAAGAGAGATAACCGCACCCTGGAGAGGATTGTGAAACAAAACCCATTCAAAAATGTGGGGGAGATTCACAAAGAGTGGACTGCAGCTGGAGTGAGTGCTTCAAGAACCACCACACACAGACGTATGAAAGACATGGGTTTCTGCTGTCGCATTCCTTGTGTCAAGCCACTCTTGAACCACAGACAGCGTCAGAAGCGTCTTGCCTGGGCTAAAGAGAAACAGGACTGGACTGCTGGTGAGTGGTCCAAAGTCATGTTCTCTGATGAAAGTAAATTTTGCATTTCCTTTGGAAATCAAGGTCCCAGAGTCTGGAGGAAAAGAAGAGAGGCACTTCATCCACGTTGCTTGAAGTCCAGTGTAAAGTTTCCACAGTCAGTGATGGTTTGGGGTGCCATGTCATCTGCTGGTGTTGGTCCATTGTGTTTTCTGAGGTCCAGGGTCAACGCAGCCACATACCAGGAAGTTTTAGAGCACTTCATGCTTCCTGCAGCTGACCAACTTTTTGGAGATGCAGATTTCATTTTCCAACAGGACTTGGCACCTGCACACAGTGCCAAAGCTACCAGTACCTGGTTGAAGGACCATGGTATCCCTGTTCTTAATTGGCCAGCAAACTCTCCTGACCTTAACCCCATAGAAAATCTATGGGGTATTGTGAAGAAGAAGATGCAATACACCAGACCCAACAATTCAGAAGAGCTAAAAGCCACTATTAGAGCAACCTGGGCTATCATAACACCTGAGCAGTGCCACAGACTGATCGACTCCATGCCACGCCGCATTGCTGCAGTAATACAGGCCAAAGGAGGCCCAACTAAATACTGAGTGCTGTACATGCTCATACTTTTCATGTTCATACTTTTCAGTTGGCCAACATTTCTATAAATCCTTTGTTTTTATTGGTCTTCAGTAATATTCTAATTTTCTGATATGATGAATTTGAGATTTTCATTTGTTGTCATTTGTAATCATCAAAATTAAACAAAATAAACATCTGAAATATATGAGTTTGTATGTAATGTATGAATATAATATACAAGTTTCACTTTTTAAATGGAATTACTGAAATCAATCTACTTTTTCATGATATTCTAATTTTATGACCAGCACCTGTATATAGAGAGAGCAGGAGGTGGGGTTACCAATCTACTTGCTCTGGAGAGCAGAGTTCGCTGCTTTTAGATGTCGCCAAAGTCTCCAGTAGCAGAAAAAGGTCGCTAGATTTGGCGCTAGGAGTTTTTTTTAAATCAAAGTGCTAGAGGGTCTGAAAAGTCGCTAAATATAGCGACTAAAGCGCTAAGTTGGCAACACTGCTCTTTGCATCGTTTGTTTTCAAATGGTTTGATGCTGTCTGTTTGGACCTTTCTGAACATGTGCAGCAAATGGACTGATCCAATATGGTGGACACTGAATGGGGGGGCTGAGACACACTTAATATTATCAGCGTTCTGATGGCATTTTAGCCAAAGGATTTTTTTATAAAACACACAATGTGCACAAATAAGGAATAGTTTTATTAACCATACATGTAGACAGAGTTTTATGGGGCCCTCAGGAACTTGGGGCCCTAGGCACCTGCCTAGTATTGCCTAATAATAAATCACCCCCTGATTGATCTACTAACGTTCAAGAAATAATCCTGTAATATTATTGCAGTTTTGATATGTTCTAGTTTCACTAAATATGTTTCCTGAGATCCGAAAGAGACAAAATGGCATTCTCCACATCTACAATAAACATTCAAGATGTCTATAAATTAATTTCAGCATTCCATATTCCTAAAATTACTGGTCAGCATCGATATAAACTTGCAGATTTGAATCTGATTTCGTTAAAACCCTTGGAAAGAGGCTTTCAGCAGAAAAACAAATATATAAAATATAAACATCACCAAACACAAATCCCACTTTTTAAAAACAAAATTAGAAAACTAGTGACTGATCTCCAATATAAAACACATCCATATAAAGGTTCTTCATTACAAAGATAATCATTTGCAAAAAACAGCAAAACTTAATTAACCCCAAATTTAAGGCACTAGCAGAAACCGGAAAGCTTTGGTTTGAGTCCAACTGGGAAGTCTCCAGGTTTGCTGGTTATACTGGCCACAGAGGAGCAGCATTAACAGAACCATTCTGATCCCATCAGAGCTGGGTAGAGCATCCAGAACGTGGCACATCCCGTAGCCTGATGCTGCCAGCATCGTGCTTCACTGTAAGGATGATGGGGAGGAGGTTCCTGGTAAAGGCTGTGACCCCTCAGACATGGGATTTCTTAGTTTACCATGTAAGAAATTATCAAAAATCTAAAATATGTTTTCCTTCATAATGAGGTATAATGTTTGTAGATTTAATTAGATTAATTTAAAGCCATCTGGATTAATACTGGAACCGATTGGTTTCAGATTTCCTCCTGAAGGACAATCAGAGAAAATGCTAATGCTGTAAAATGATAACCAAGCTGCCCCCATGGAGAAAAGACAGCTAGTCAAGCTTTTCCTCACTGTGCATTTTCCTCCTCCTCTTTAGCACTACTTTGATTCAGCAAAGATGGAGGTTTTGTGTCAAATGTGGGATCCTGGGAGAGTCCAAGACCAAACCCCCCTGCAGAGCCAGAGCAGCATACAGAACCGTCTGACATTTCACCAGCTGCAGTCTATGAGCTTTAGCCCAGCAGGCTGGGGTTAGACAGCAGGGTAAAGCTGTAGGTCCGCCTTAAAAACCAAACAGAACCAAAATGAAGTGGTGAGGGAGGTGAAAGAGGACGTCATCTTCTGACGGCTCTGATCCAAAGTCAGATACAGCCGCAGGACAGAAGGTCTCTGTTGGAGCTGGTCGTGACTCGGACTTGGTTATTGGTCCGTTGCTGCAGGACGGAGATGAGCTGCAGCAGACGAGGACTCGGCTGGTTAACGACCCAGCTCGGATCCTTTGGGTCGGGCCTGTAAAACGAATCCAGAACCTCCAGGGTGGTTAGATGCTGAAGCTGGTGGAGACCCAGGAAGTCTTCATCCGAGACGTGATGATGTCTGAGGTGAGAAACCACAGGTTACCAAGGAAACCTTTCACCAAGTTTGTCTTTTTGTCACATTTAACTCTGCATTTAACAAATCCCCTTAGGGAGCAGTGGGCTGCCACTGTGTGGCGCCCGGGGAGCAGTCTGTGGGAGTGGGTCTCAGAACCTCAGGATTCTGAAATGCTGGTGTTTGTGCATCTCACCTGATGGCCAGAGTCCTCAGATGAGGAAAAAGCTGTGGGATCAACCTGACCAAGTTGGAGGAGGAGCTCCATGGTTCCAGGTGCAGGTGTTGCAGGTTCGGAGCTCGGAGGGAAACCACATGGAGATCTTCAGGCTGAAGGTCCACACAGAGAATCAGGCTGAGGAGGGAGGATGGGAGGAAGTCTGCGTACACCTCCAGGGGATGGCCGCCTGGTGGCAGAGAGAAGGGAGCCGCACCACATGAGGAAGAGGAGTAGAGGCTCTTCAGTTCTTACAGTGAAACCAAGCATGGAAATACGTCAAGCAACCGTTTTCTCCTGAATGGTTTCCATAAATATTATGGGAAAACAGTTCCTCTTTTGATTGAGAATTTCTCGTTAATCAAATATGAAAAAAACAAACAAATTAATTCATTTTTTTTTTTTCTGATTTAATTTTGGGCTCTGAGATAACTAGTTATAATTGTTTGGTTGTGTCCAGCAGACTGATGTTTTTATAACATCATTTATAAAGGTGAGATTCTATGGTAGTCCAAAAGGGAAAAAAAAAACAAAATTTAAATGCTTTTTAGCCATTTTAATGTGTTAGTGTTAGTTTTAGTAGAGAACTAAGAAATAAAAAATAATAATAATAAAAGCTGATATTTGTAATTTTTTTTATTTAATTAAATGATTTAGGAAAAAAAAAAACATTTGTTTCTTGTTATTTTCCATTGCTTCAATTTGAAAACTAAAATAAACATGATGGAAAAAAAAAGAAACATGAATGAATCTGTTCTGATTTCCTGCTTATGGGGGATTTACTCTCCCTGCATTGAAAACTTTTAATCCTCGTAATCAGAACTTCTGCTTTCTTTTAAATCTATTCTCTTCTACAATGCAGCCATTGAGTCGCTTCCTTCCCGCTATCATCTCAACCCCAACCCCTTTAGAGGGACACAGAGGACCTCGCCTGTTCAACCAGGCCAACAATTCCCTCTAACGACCCCCCTTTCAGAGACATAGACAGGTATGGGGGATTACAGGATAACAAAGAAGCCAAACGACCCCCATTCCAAAGGGTGGGACCCGTTCGTCCGTTTCTATTTACATGTTTTCTAAATAAAATCAAGGCTTTGTTGGTCTACTTTTTTAAAACCTGGAACTCGACGCTATTTCTGACATTTTGAATTGAAAAAGCTGCCTGGATGGAAGAGAAATGTCTTCAAACTTGGAAACAAAGTCCAGTGGATTGTTTAACTTTTTTGGAATAAGTGTATAACAGCAAAACTACTACTAATAATATTTCACTTGAATACCAGGAGTAACAGATTCATAAAGTGAGTCTTATTAATAGTATTATAGATTAAACCTGCTGGGCTTAACCACACCATGGGATGTAATACTTAAGATCTGAACACAGCTTCTCTCAAAATACAGCTTTAGAAATAGCAAAGAGGCTTTTTTTTTATATTGACCTTTTTTAATGTGAGATATTTCCATTAAAAATTAAATTTAATGGAAGATCCCCAAAAGTTATAACCTGACTCCGCCAGATGGATTTGCTCCGCATTTCCATCTGGAAACCTTCCGTTGAAGTAATTTTGGGAAGGGGCGAAAATACTGGTTAGCTGATTGGCCTATGTTGGTGATAGACGGGCCAAATAAACCAATCAGATCAACGAAGCATATGACGTACTAACTCTTGTCGAAACCAGTCGGGAGAAGAGCAAAAACATCTTTTCCTCTGAGAAAATCCTCCAGAGCAGCGTTTTGCTCTTCTTTCAGTGAAGAAATACTCTGTAATTCCGATAAAACTTGCTCGATAGCCACGCTAACGCTAGGTTCATCGGCTGAAGCCACCATGTTATTTAGACTGAACTGTTGCGCTTCTCGTTGCATCACACCTCAACCCGCCTCAAAGCCAACACTGATTGGACGTTCGTTTGGTGAACGGCTCCAAATTTTCTTCAGCGGAGAGTCTCCAGACTGATTAGCGAGTGAAATCTTGAAAGCTCGCGAGATCAGGATGGTCTCACGAGGCTACAAAAGTTATAGTTTTAATTTGGGAGGTTAGCTGTTTCTTACGGATGGAAAACGTGTAAATCCAACATGGCTGCTACAGAGACTTGCAGCCATGTTGGTTCTTATGATGTCACATTTTACTGAACTACATCTGCATGTGAAGCCGTCTCCAGAGCATTTTAATGAGAAGCAGCTGGATTTAGATTTAATTAAAAAGGTCATGGTGATCTGTTATCTCTTGTAGATGGAACATTTTATTGGCGGAATTCAAGTTAAGCTGCCGCAGTTATTTCAAGATATTAAAACGAAGATATGTTCTGTTTGACCATGGTTGAAAAGGGAAAGTTTCTCTTGTATCTTATCTACATATGAAACCAGCTTCACCACAGCTAGAGAACTGTGATTTTCTGCAGTGCCTCTACTGGCAGATCGGAGTATTGCTATCGGTTCTACAGTTATGGGTTCCCTTCAAGGTTCTTTATCATTTAGCAGCTGGTAAACAGTGAGGTCATAGTTACCATGCACACTCAGGCTGCAGAGCTGATGCAGTGATGACAGCCATGTCTGCAGGTGACAGGTGGGTCCAGGTACGGAGTACAGGTGGAAGACTGAGAGGCTGCGGAGATTGGCCAAAGGCTGCAGAGCTTCCTGTGTTACTGCCGCGTCGTAATTCAGCAGCTGCAAGTCAGACAGCTGCAGAGAGCCGCCAGCATCTGTGAGGAAAACAACGCAGAGGGCGCACACTTAGCGCATGCTGACATTTTAAACATCCATGCTGTTTCTTTCTTCTGTGTCATTCCAGAAAATACAGCAAAGGAGGAAGTAGCATGCTACACAGAGAAAAAACACCATAAACAGAACATGATCCAGAGTTAATGTCCATCATGCTGTTCAGCTATTCATTTCAAACCAGTCTATTTCTATAGCACCAATTCACAACCTGTCATCTCTGGGCACTTCACAGGTCGCCAGATTATCCAGTCAGATTGATTCAAAGTTTTCTATCTAAGGAAAACCAGCTGATTGCATCGACTCATTGACATGAAGGCAATCCCTTACACTAAGCAGGCTTGTAGCGACAGTGGAGAGGAAAAATTCCTTTTTAACAGGAAGAACCCTCCAGCAGAACCAGGCTCAGTGTGAGCGGCGATCTGCTGAGGCCGACTGGGGTTCAAGGAGACAGAAGCAGACATAGAAAAAGAAGCATAGATACAAAAGGCAACTGTCAACCTGTCCAGGAAACACATCGCCACAGTTTTTCTGAAAGTAATACTGCAGCCTGTATACCATGTCCAGTTACTGTCCACTGAATTAGAGGTGGACAGGGTGTTGCCAAGAAAAGGTAAGCATGAATGCATTAACATGAATTGTTTAAATAACTGATAACAAGGTATAGATATAGGTTAGACAGATCCAGATGTGTTGGGGGAATCTTTCTGTACCAGCACCTGTAGGATGGAAGAAGTCGTGGTTCAGCCTCTTGTGGCTGATCATGGTCCAGGACAGAGAGGTGAGGTGAGGCAGGTTGGAGAGGAGTCCTCTGAGGGAGGGCATCAGCAGGCTGCCATCATGGTGCAGCACCAGAGCCCTCAGGCCGCTAAGCTGGGAGATGCAGGCCAGCAGCTGGGGGGCGGGGCAGCGGAGCTGCACGCTGCACAGGCTCAGGTGGGTCAGCTGCTGCTTCAGAACCAGGAGGAAGTCCAGGTTGATGAGCGGCGTGCAGCCTGCGCTCAGGGTCAGACGCTGCAGGTGGCGGAACCGCTTCAGCTCCTGGACCTGGAAGTCTTTCCCCCACCAGCTGTCCAACCGGAGAGCCCGGAGCAGAGGGAGCCAGACGGAGAGCAGCTTCAGGTCCCTCTTCTTTCCCCCCCGCAGCGCCACGCTGCCCAGCTGCCTCTGAGCAAGGCTCCGCCAGAAGGAGCTGTTGTAGCGGGAGAGATCCCGCAGCGCCACGCTGAAGCCCCGCCACAGAGGCCGGGACTCGTCCATCAGCTGCCGGAAATGTGAGCAGGTAGAGCGCATACTGAGCTTGTCCTTCCAGGACAGGAAGCTGAACACCTTCAACCACAGCTCGTTCGGAAGCACGAGCGCTGACGTCATCATCAGCTCATTTAATAATAATAAACAAAAACAGCCTCAAACTCTGAGCGGACAGGAACCGGAGGCGGTTCTTCTTCTTCTTCTTCTTCTTCTTCTTCTCGAGTTTTATGGCGGTTGGCAACAAACTGTTAGTAGCATTACCGCCACTTACTGGTATGGAGTGTGGTTCGTGATGGTTTAAATATTTATCCTGATATATTCTACCCTAACTTCTTCTAAACATACATTCACACATTCACACTTAAAAATATAAACAAATTTGTGCACAGCTTTGTATATCATTCCTTCACTCACAAACACACTTACTATAATTAAATTCTATGGAATAATTTTGTTTTCTTTAGAAATCGAATAATTATTTGTATGTGTTTACTCCCTAAATTTTTCCTCAGTATATCTAATAAATTAACCTTCTCCTTAATGTCTTCAAACTCTCTTCTCATATATCTTCTCTCTCTTTCATATTTATGACATTCTAATATAACATGTTCTATGGTTTCATATTTATCACAGAAATCACATTTGCCCGTTTTATGTTTTTGTATTTTAAAAAGTGTATAATTAAGTCCTGTATGACCAAATCTTAACCTTGTTATCACTCTTTCCTCCTTTCTATTTCTTCTTCCATTTCTTCTTTCTCCTACCATCTTCTGAATTTTATAAAACCATCTTCCTGTTTTATCTTCATCCCACCTTTTTTGCCAAATTTCCATAAGTTTCTCTTTAATAATACTCTTTCCTTCTGATTTACTTATTTTAACTATAAAACTAATAGAATGTTTAATTGCCCTTTTTGCCATTTTATCTGCCCTCTCGTTTCCTTCTACCCCAATATGTGCTGGAACCCACACAAATGTAACTATCAGCCCCATGTTTCGTATTCTGAACAGTGTATGATTTATTTCTAATAAAATGTCCATCCTACTATCTGTTTGGTTATTTTTTAAACTTAACAATGCAGAGCTTGAATCTGAACAAATGACTGATTTTAACGGTTTTATATCTTCTACCCATTGTAATGCTAATAATATTGCCAACATTTCTCCTGTGTATACTGATAATCCATCTGTAATCCGTTTTCCTATTTTTATATTGAATTCTGGTACTAAAAATGCTATTCATAGTTTCTCAGTTATTTTTGATGCATCGGTATAAATTTGAATATATTGATAATAACTGTCTAAATGTAACTGTACTAAATTGATATCTACCGTGTACGATTTATCTTGTTTCTTTTCCATTAGTGACATATCTACTGTTGCTTCTGGTAGAATCCAGGGAGGTATAATTGATATTGGTGTTGTTTGACTCATTTCTAAACTATTCATTTTAAATTTTTTAATTTTATTTTCAATTGTCCATCCAAAACTCCTCATTTCTTTCTTTTCTTTTTCCCAGCATGGATTTAAAATGTCCAAAGTTGGGTGATCCCCTTTATTTCCTTGTAAATTTAACCAGTAATTGATTTCTAATTTTGTTCTTCTTAAATCTAATGGCATTTCTCCCATTTCTATTTCTAATGCTGCTGTTGGTGTGGTTTTAAATGCTCCAGTACATAATCTTAGTGCCTGATGTTGGATAATGTCTAATTTGGTTAGATGTGTTTTAGCTGCTGAACCGTAAACTAAACAACCAAAGTCTATGTTGGATCTTATCATACTTGTGTAAATCTGTTTTAGTGATTTCCTATCTGCTCCCCAGTCACTGCCAGCCAAACATCTCAAAATATTCAAGATTTTCTTACATTTATCAACAACTTTTTGTATATGTATATGCCATTTTAATTTCTCATCAAACCATAATCCCAAAAATTTTATACACTTTACCTGCTCTAACTCTTGTTTATATAATTTTAATTTTATTTCCTTGTTTATTTTTTTCTGAGTAAATAACATTACTTTCGTTTTATCAACTGAGAATTTAAATCCCCATTGCAACGCCCATTTCTCTATTTCAATAATAACCTTTAGTAATTTTTTAACAATAAAATCAACATTTTTCCCTCGTTTCCAAACAGCTCCATCATCTGCAAATAGTGAACACCCTATATCTTTTTCAATATCTTTAAATACATCATTTATCATAATTGAGAATAATAGTGGACTTATAATACTCCCCTGTGGAGTTCCATTTTCTACTTTATATTTTCCTGAGGTAGTTTCTCCTATTCTAACTTGTATTTTCCTACCTGTTAAAAAGTCTTTAATCCATTTAAATATTCTCCCTTTAATACCAAACTTGTATAATTTAATTAATAATCCATCCACCCACATCATGTCATATGCCTTTTCTATATCAAAGAATATAGCCACTACACTTTCTTTATTTACTTGTGCTCTTCTAATTTCGTGCTCTAAACAGAGCGTTGGATCGTTAGTGCTCCTCCCTTTTCGAAAACCACTTTGATATTTTGATATATATCCTTTACTATTTAGATAATATACTAGTCTATTATTAATCATTTTTTCCATTATTTTACATAAATTAGACGTTAAGGCTATTGGTCTGTAGTTTTCTGGGTTTGAATGATCTTTTCCTGGTTTGGCTATCGGTATTATAATTGATTCCTTCCAGTTCAACGGTAATTTTCCCTCCTCCCAAATTTTATTATATAGTTGTAATATTATATCTTTAGATTTTTCACTAAGTTGCCCTATCATTCTATACCAGATTTGGTCTTTACCTGGTGCTGTGTTTTTTGTCTTTTTAAGTGCATTGTTCAATTCCGTTTTTGTAAACTCAACATTTAACAAATTATTTGTTTCTTCAACGCTCTGTATAAAATCTTTATATTTAATTTTTGTATTTTCTCTACCTTTTCTTCCATTTTCACTAATATTATTTGAACTATGAATTTTACTAAATGTTCTTGCCAATATTTCAACTTTATCTTCATCTCTTATTATGTTTGTATCATCTATTTTTAGAACAGGATAGTCAAACTCTCTTTTTATACCATTCATTATTTTGATTACCTTCCAAATTTTTTCAATTTTTATTTCTTTCCCTATCGTATTACAGAATTTTTTCCAATATTCTCTTTTTGCATACTTTATAGTTCTCCTTACTATTGCTTGTTTTCTTTTATAATCAATTAAATTTTTATAAATTGGATTATGTTTGAGTGTCTTAAATGCTTTATTTCTTAACTTTATTGCTTCTTTACACTCATTTGTCCACCATGGAACCATTTTCTTATCATTTTTACTCCCTGATTTCTTTATAGAATTATCTGCTGCTTCCATTATTATTTTACCAATTATTAAATTTAAATCATTTATATCCATACTCATGTCTACTTTTTCTAAGTTTATTTGACTCAAATATCTAAATTTAGTCCAGTCAGCCTTATTAAAATTATACTTTTTCCCAATTTTAATATTCCTATTATTTAAATTTAGCCCTACTCTTACTATTATGGGGTAATGATCGCTACCTATTGTAGATTTTTTATCAATAAACCAATCACAAATACCAGCTAAAACATTTGAGACAATTGTTAAATCAATAACTGATTCCATCCCCGTTCTTATATTGATTCTTGTTCCCTTTCCATCATTAATACATACTAGATTTTTCATTTCCATTATTTCTTCTATAACTTGTCCGTTTTTATCATTACATTTACCCCACACTGTACTATTTGCATTAAAATCTCCACACCAAATTACCTTCCCTTCCAAATATTCAGTTAACTCCTCCATTATTTCAATCGATAATGTTTTACATGGATTATAAAAATTTATTATTTTTAATTTACCTTCTTTTTCCCATATCTCAATTACTACATATTCTAGTTCTTTCCCTTTCCCCAATATCTGATATTGTATTCCTTTTTTGATAAATATTGCACATCCTCCTCCACTTCCCTCTGGTCGATCTCTTCTTACACTATCATATCCTTTGATCACAAAATCTAATGTTGTTTTTAACCATGTTTCCTGAACACAAACAATTTCCGGTTGTTCTTCCAGCTCATCAATATAACCTTTAAGTTCCTGTCCATTAGCGATTAAACTTCTAGCGTTCCATTGTAGTATTAACATGAACCGTTTTCACCCGAAGGTCCTGGTCTCCCATCTTCCTCCAACTTTTTATTTATGTTCTCCCATGATCCCTCTTTAAATCCCAAAAACTTTTCAGCTCCTCTCACTATTATTTTAATCTTCTCAGTTTTGTGTTTGGCTTGGTCAGTGCAGTTGACAACATAAGCTATGAATAATATTAGTTTTTCCACTGGAATTGTGGCTTTTTCTTCTGTCTGTACTTTGCTTTGTTGTGTAGTTTGTCTCACTGTTTGTTTAATCTCTCTTGTTTCCTGTTCCTTCACATTCTTAACTGCTTCTGCATAGCTTATGTTTTTAGTTGTTTTAATCTGTACGATTTCTTTTGCCCTTTTCCTTACTTCGCATCCTCCAAACGTGACTCTATGGTTCCCTCCACAGTTACAACATTTTTCTTGTTCTTCTTTACACTCTTCTAATTTGTGATCTTCTCCACATTTTGGGCATCTTTGCCTCCCTTTGCAGACTGCTGCTATGTGTCCATATCTTTGGCATTTAAAACACCGAAGTGGTGGAGGTACATATGGTCTGACCTGAAAATTGAGGTATCCTATTTTGATGTTTTTTGGCAGCTCTTCATCTTCAAATTCAATAAGGATTGACAAGCTTCCTACTCTTTCCCCATTCACTGTTTTTGATAATCTTTTCAAGTTGTTCACCTTTGCACCCACAACACTTCTCTTGATTTTATCAAGATCTTCATCAAGAGGGATCCCATAAATCACTCCTCTAATTTTTTTATTTTCTCCCATGATTTTTTTCTCCAGAACAGTTCTTTTGCAGATACTCTCCACATTTAAAGCCTTATTCTTTTGTTCTATATCTTTACATATCACCAATAGGTTTCCGTCTCTCAAAATCTTTACCATTTCAACATCTCCAATTTTCTTTTTTATTTCTCTTGATACCACAATGGGACTGATTTTATCCTTTTCTTCCTCATTTTTAAGTTTTAATATTACTTTAAATTCCTCCCTCACAACTTTCCTCCTAACCACTCTTTCTTCTTCTGAGCTACTTCCTTCCAACTCCCGTTTATTACCTTGACTGTCACCTTTTCCCCTTCCTTCATCAGTTTTATTTCTTCCACGACCTCTCCCTCTCCCTCTTCCCGCAGGCGTCCACCCATCAAAATCCTCGTCTTCCTCATTTCCTATCTCCATTTCCATCCGAACCATTCACATACCAGTTTATGCCAATCCGCCTTCTCACAAGTGATGTTTTGAATTTTTCCGCGTCCAACACAAACGTTCACCACACGTGCTCAACCGCTCGCGAGACCAACCGTCCTGCTCCTGTTGTTTTCCCGTCGACAAACCGGAGGCGGTTCTTCTTCTTCTTCTTCTTATGGGATTTTATGGCGGTTGGCAGACTTGTGAATTGTGCATTACCGCCACCAACTGATATGGAGTAAAGCAAGAAAACAGGAAACGATTCACCCCCCCAAAAAAAAAAAAAAAAAAAAAAAAAAAAAAAAAAAAAAACCTGTGTAACTTAAACCAACATAATACTAAATCACATTTGCCCATATAATTTTAATTTACTCTAGGTCATCTTAACTCTGCCAGTTTCTGATGGTCCCATCGGTCCTCCCATCATACTTCCAACCATCTCCCAGTTCAAATCTTTAATGTCCAGATATTTTTCTGCAGCCTTCACTATTATTTTGATTTTTTCCGTTTTTTTTGTTGTCTGTGCAGTACAATTAATAACTTCTACCATGAAAAGAACAAAATTTGTCTTTTTAACAATAAGTGAGTCTTCATCAATTTTTAGAGATTTCTCTAGAGGTTTGGAATTTGCTGTGTGTTGAACTGTAGGTTTGGGTTTTTCTGACTGAGATGGGATCCTTTTTGCAGCTTCAGCGTAGGTTATTCCGAGCTCAAATTTCATTTTTTTAATTTCCTCAGACCTTTTGCTTGCTTCACAGCCGCGATAGGCAGCAGTATGTTCTCCACCACAATTACAGCATTTTATTTTAGCTTCTTTTCCACATTTTCCGTACTCATGTTCTCCTGCACACCTTCCACACCTCTGTTTCCCTTTACAAACTGCTGCAATGTGACCGAATTTTTGGCATTTGAAACATCTCAATGGTGGAGGATTGTAGATTTTGACATTATAGCTTATGTAACCGATGAATACTTTGCTTGGTAATTGCTCTTCTTCGAATTTAATTAGCACAGATAAACTGTCAGATCTTTCTCCGTTTCTTGTTGTTTTTAACCGTTTTACTTCTTTTACTTTTGCACCTCTTATGTTTTCCAGAATCTCTTTTTCAGAAATTTTTAGAGGAACTCCTCCAATGACTCCCCTGCTGAACTTTTTGTTCTCCATTAAGCTGCACTGAACTCTTATCCCGTCAATTTTGTTGATCCGTATTGCTTTGCCTTGCTGGGCGCTGTCTCTGCAGATAATTAGCAGGTCTCCACTGTACAGAATTCTGGCACCTCTGACTTCTCCGACAAGTTTATTGATGGTTTTTGTTAAGTGAACCGGATTCCAATTTGTAAAAGAGTCTGCCTGATTAACGACTTTGAATATGACTTTGAATTCATTTTGTTGTGCTGTGGAATGTATGGAATGATCATCACTGGATTGTTCTGAACTAGATTCCCCTTGAACTGATCTCTGTTTTTTCCGCTTTTTCTCATTTTTTGATGTTGCTATCTTCCAACCTTCATTGTCACTATTTCCCTCTTCCATCCCACAAGAATCGCTTCCTGTTTCCTCACTACTCACGGCCCAAGACATTTCTCCATAAGCAGCTTCAAAACACGCGCCATGCACCAAACGACCATCCACATGCAATCTTTCCGGCCTTCCACCTCCGACGTTTCTTCTTCGTGGGCAACCGGAGGCGGTTTCACTCCGTCCTGAGGGATAAAGATGGCAGCAGGTCTCCTGGCAGCTTCCTGCTTGCGTCATTGAGGAAAGCCTACGTCATCCTACAGGGGAGCGTCCAGGTTTTAATAATAGGAGGGATTGCTCAGGTAGGTTTGGTCAGTTCATGAAGTGTCCCTTTGAAAAGATGACCTCTGACCTGGAAGCCTGTTTGCAATCTGATAATTATTATCTAATTTAAGGACCTGAAGCCAATCAGGTTCTGAGTCTTTCTATATCTATAGGTCTATAGGCTTAGACTGCTGGAGGACATAGGGACCCCTTTTTCATCATTCTATCCCTATTCTCCCACTCTGCAGAATCTGTTAGTTCAATCTCTATCGTTCTGCTCTCTCTGCTTTTTCTCATAGTAGCTTCATCTGGTCTGTTCCTGTTTGGCTGTGACGCCATCCTGGAGAGAAATATCAGCTGTGCTGCTGCCATCAACACATTTGTTTCTAGATGTTTGAGATTGGCCTGTTTTTCAGTGTTGTCCTGTTTCTCTGACTGTGACTAACTGGATGTGCTCTCTTCATCCTCTGACATGGGAGCTGGCTCGGAGCTCTTCTGTGTGTTTCCTGAATGGGGCTGCCTGTGAAGCTGGTTGACCAATGGCGTAACTATGGGTAAGCAGAGGCTACTGTTGCTTAGGGGTCCCGACACTGACACCTGGTTGGCCCCCTATCCTATTGTGGACTAGGATGTCTCTTTGCAGATATAATTGTGCAAAAATCCCCCTTAAACCCACCTGATACTGAAGTAAATAACCACAATGGACAGTATTTATACTGCAACACATGGCAGATTTCAACATGATGGTGAGCCGTTTAAACACGACACCAATAGCAAAGCAGACAGTGGTACTTTTAATTACTATGTTAAAAATTGTGTATAGTTCATTAGACGGTTGGTAAAAAAATATTCATATAATATGTTTCAAACCAGAATAAAGATCTTAAAAGAACAATGTATTTGAGTATTTTATTTTTTACAATAGGACTTAGAATTATGGGTAATCTAGATTAAAACCATTACCGTTATGTACAATGTGTTAGCGACGATGGATACCAAAAAGAGGTACTTAAGCGGATTCCAGAAAAGAAAAAGCAAAGAGCTGCTGGAAGAACGGAAAAAACTTCCCAAAATAAACACGTTCTTTCAAAGAACCGCAGAGGTAGAGGTGGACGCTGCTGCTGCAGTGAATAAAGATCAAGACGTGAAGATGAGGACAAAGGTAGCCCAATAAGACTTATTTTAAAGCAGAATATACTAAAGTATATCCATGTCTAGCAAAGGTAAAGAATGATGAAATGATAAAGTGAGTATGTATGGGGCACATTTTAGGTTGGTTGTCTATTGTACTTCATATGGGGCCCACCCAGATATTGTTGCTTACGGGTCTATTGTTGTGCCGTAACGCCACTGTGGTTGACAGTTGCCTTTTGTATCTATGCTTCCTTTTCTATGTCTGCTTCTGTCTCTTTGAACCCCAGTCAGTGTGAGCGGCCATCTGCTGAGGCCGACTGGGCTTCAAGGCGACAGAAGCAGACATAGAAAAAGAAGCATAGATACAAAAGGCAACAGTCAACCAGCTCCACAGGCGGCCCCCATGCTGTCTAATAACTCTACCGATCGGGAGCATATATATAGTAAAGAGAATTGGTCCTAGCACTGATCCCTGTGGTACTCCAGAGGTAACCTTTCAGCATGAGGAAGATTTATCGTTAACATGAACAAACTGAAATCGATCAGATATATAAGATTTAAACCAGTCTAAAGCTGTTCGTTTAATTCCTACAAACTATTCAAGTCTTTTTAAAAGAATATTATGATCAACTTTTATCATTTCTAATGTCCTGCTGTATTTTGCACAATATTTATTTATTTGCACTGCACTGAACTTTTCCATATTAATGCCTTTTGCACCATGAATTTAAAAACTTTAAAATGTTCTCTTTTTTTTCTCCAACATTGTGTATATTCTGATCACTGCTGCATTTTATATTTGTGATGTTTATCTACTCCAACTGTAATATCATTACACTTGAAAAGCTGTATGGAGCAAATTTTCCTTTTGTATACTCTGCGCATTCAAAATGTTAAAGAAAGTTTGTCTACGTCTATGAGTTGTATGTTGCCATTTTTTTGGTCAGGGACAAACCACTTGGAAAACAAGTGCATGGTTTCAAATAGTCTTAATTTATAAAAAAAAAAAAAAAAAAAAAGCTGATAAAGTGACAGGGATCAGCCAACCAAAGAACACAATAACAAACTGATCTAACAAACAAAACATGAGGGGAACATAAATACAGATCAGACCACTGCTGATATACAAGGAGCTACATGACTGATTAACATACAAACTCAATTAGCAAAAAAAATACTGGAGTGCAAGAATACTGCTAAGTACTTTAAAAAAAGTAAACAAATACTATTTTACCAGAACTAGCCGTCCAAAATAAGAACAGCTAAACTATAATATCTGTAGTTAATTATTATAACTTCAGGTGTGTGTGGAGTAGTCTCAGAAAAAGAGGACATCCTTTTCTTAAGGAGCAAAGTTCACTAGTGAGTAATGAGGTTTAATCCTAAACTGAGTTTCTGTTTGAATGTGAATAATGTCTGTGTTTACATGAACAACAGAACATTTTGGACAAACTGTTTAGCTTCTCTAATTTCTGATAACTAATAATACTTAAAGGTGAATGACATTTATAATAAAATATTTTAAAAGACAATAGAGGACGTTTTAATTAGGTTTAGGATTTTATAAAAAAAAAAAAAAAACCTGCAGATTTTACAAAAAAGAATCAAGTGAAATAAGATATGAAATTATTAGTGGTAAGAAATGCTTAAAGAAAAAATTATTTGTTCCTGTAACTAAATAATTAGTACAGTAATATTAAAAATTTTTTGTTGTTTTTTTTTTTAAAAAGCTGATGGGCAGACGAGCTCCTTCAGCAGAAGACTCCTCCTACCCAGATGCACCACAGAGCGCCACAGGAAATCATTCCTGCCTGTGGTCATTAACCTCTATAACGCCTCCCTCAAGTGATTCAGACCCCCCCCCCCCCCCCCCCATAATTGACATTATGCACTATTTTTGCACACCACGTATCACTTTACTTGGATTTATCACTTTAGTTGGATGTTCACTTTATTTGGATTTAGTTTTTACATATGCATAGATATACGTACATATATATATATATATATATATATATATATATATATATATATATATATATATATATATATATATATACAGAAGAGCTATATGTGTATATATTTTTATCTATTTTTATTCTTATTTTTTATCTTTATCATATTGTGTAGTTGGCTGTGTGTATATAAATAAATAAAACTGTAACTGGAGCGTGTAACAAAAGTAATTTCCCTCTGGGATTATTAAAGTATTTCTGATTCTGATTCTGAACATTTATTTATAACATATTTCAGTAGCTAAACTACTCCAAGCATTGTCTTTATGTCTGGGGAGATAATGCATGGTGTGAAACGAAAACATGGATTATGGACAGAAATGTTGGATGAGTTCAGCCGATGGGTGATAAAGCTGTGTATGTGATGGTGAAATATTTTAGTATTTTAAATAAAAAAAGAAGGGTCAATTTAATCTGCATATGTTCCCAAAAAAAGTTAGAAAACGATCCACTGGACTTTGGTTCCATGTTTAAAGATGTTTCTCTTCCCATCCAGGAAGATTTTTCAATTGAAAAGTTCCAGTTTTTTATACAGTAGACCAACAAAGCCTTGTTTTTGCAAATAGAAACAGACGAACGGGTCCAACCCTTTGGAATGGAGGTCGTTTGGCTTCTTTGTTAGCCTGCAAGGCCCCATACCTGTCTATGTCTCTGAAAGGGGGGTCATTAAAGGGAACTGTAGGCCTGGCTGAATAGGCCCCTGAACAGAAGGACCTCAGGTCTGACCTTTAATAGTTTTTTTTTTTTAGTAAATGACTAAAAGGATACGTTTTGCTTATGCAACCGGCGCTGTTTGACTGATTGACAGGCTAAAGTCTCAGATCTTTTGCAGTGAATTTTCCAATTCATGAGGAAATATGGAGGCGAAAGAAAGGTTTCATCCTGTTGGGATCATTTTCATATTAGTTTGAATTTCCTCGAGTCATCCTGTTGCTCTCAGTTATAACCCAGGTTATCTAGAATTTAATTAAACTGAAACTGACATTTAGTGTACCGGATTCACTGTACTTATGTTGTTGTTTTTTTAATGCAATCATCCTCATTCACTTGTTCACCCAGATTAGAGTAAATAACCCAAGTTATTTATGGACCGCATCTAAAACTATCAAACATATTTTCATATAAACAAGGATATCTAATAATGCAATGTAACATAGAATGGCTTAAATTATAGTATCAGCAGGTCATCAAGTGTTAGAGTCAAAAAGGCTGCATGTAGGGACTTTAAAGGTCCAGCAGGTGGCAGCATTGAGTGACAAAGTATCTTTTAAAAAACAAAGTGAGCACAAAAAAGTAAGGAAATAGCAACACCACAAATCTGTAAAAGGCATAGTAGAGGCAGATTTCAAAATGGAAATATAAGACAACATTGATGAGGAACAAAATCAAAAATAAAAAAAAGAATAAATAAATGATAATAATGAAGCAATAATTTAAAAAAGCAACAAGGGGATTCATGTTAGGTTTGATGAACATTTGGTGGGCAATCCCATCAGTATTTCAGTCAGGTATTGCTATGATTCGACACCTTTAAGAGATTTCAAATATAATTTGAATTCAGATAAAAAATGTAAAAGACTGGGGAAGACCTTAACACTCTTTATTTACGAATGAAGAATTTTGCTAAACACAAAATGAGGTTAATGCAGATTTCTATTGTTTTGCTTTTCAACATTATTTCAATAGTTACTACATCTTTAGAGATAGATTCAGGAAGTGCACATTTTAATTTGATCCATTTTTTAAGGCGTTCCAACATGTTTTGGTTTGATTGCATTTATAAAAGACATGGTCAATCGTCTTACATCACTTTCACAGAATGAGCATTTATTGTCATCAATATTAAAACCAATTCTTAGTAGTTCTTTTGTGGGGTAAATTACATTTAAAATCTTAAAGTGAGTAGTTTCTTTAGCTTTTGCTTGTATGGGGAGTTTTAGATAAAAAGTGATCACTGTTTTCATAGATTTCTTTCTCCAATTTGCAAAGAATGTTATTTTTGGTTATTTTCTCAGATTATTTCAATGCAGTCTCAATACAGTTTGGAAATGTGTCGAAACGCTTCATGGCGCCTCATCAACCATCACTAGAATGACCAGAAATTAAAGAGTTATGACCCCTTTTCCTCATTGTTGGTGAATGGATTCCTATCAGCATATTGAACATAAAGTATTTTAGATGAATGTCTGTGATGGCTCTCATGAGATCTTCCTTGGATTATGGGTGTATAGCATATATGGCAGCTGCTTACTGTCATTTGAAAAAAACTCAATAGTGAACAAACACAAGGGTTACGAATATGTTGTGGAGCTTTCGGATCATCTCATTTAGTTGCTTTACAAGTTGAAACTGGTGAGCTTTAAGATTAAGAAGATTGAAGCTAATGTATATGTATTGGGTAAACCTACAGGGCCATAATTATGATAATCTAACTAAGGCTGTGCTACAGGACTGATGGGAACATCATAAATCTGATTAGAATGGCTTTGGATGGATTGGAGACATAAAATCTCACAATCTTTTATCGGTTCGGCTTTACGGTTCCACAGTCACCAATTCCACCATGGTTATTTATCACACCAGAAGTTGATCTGCAATTTGGGGAACTTATTAAAAAGGGAAAGACTCCAGGATGGATTATAGTTAATAACTATTTTGGAAGATTTAAAGATAATGTAATTACATGTACAGATGGATCTAAAGATCCAAATAGTGGCAGAACAGGAGCAGCTGCGAAGTCAATAATATTGATTTTATGTACACATCTTGATTTTATGTATACACATGCATATTTTTATCCTGTGCGGGCAGTGCTTTTATTTTATTTTATTAACTTTTATTTATTTTAGTTATTTTATCCTTTTGTGCAGCACTTAGGACACCTTGTGTTTATTTAAACCGTGCTATATAAATAAAGTGGATTGGATCCCACACCATAAGCTGTGATTAAAAGGAAAACAACCGATCATCTAGCAGTTTTTATAGTTGAATTAATTGCCATTATGTTAGCTTTAGAATGGTTAGTTGATAAAAATGATAAGAATGTTTTGTCTGGATTCCTGCTCATGTAGGCATAGAAGGAAATGAAGAAGAAGATATATTCGCTAAACAGCCCTTAGAATCAGATATCTTTAACTTAAGTATTCATTTAAGCAAAAGTGAGAGTAAATCTATAATTCAGAATAAAATCTGTAAGGTTTGGCAGGAACTATGGGATAATCATATCACTGGTAGAGAGCTATAAAAAAGTTCAAAAGACTGTGGGGGTAATATTAGTACGAATGGAAGGAGAAAGAAGAGGCAGTCATATCTCCACTTAGAATTGGTGCTACTGGACTTAAAAGTTCTCTTTCAGAATAGAGAAAGATGAAACAGGGACTTATAATGACTGTAATCAGATGGAAACAGCGGAACATGTATTATTAGAATCTAATAAGTATTAACATAAAAGGTAAGAAAAAAAATTTAAATAAACAAAGAGATAAATAAAATAAACAAATAAATAAAATAAACTTAAAATAATAATAGGTAGATGTTTACACTGAGTTTACGGTCATTTACAAAAGTGTATAATTTTATACAATTTTTCTTCTTCATAAATTTAAGTGATTGAAAATACAAACAAAGTTCTTTAAGAAAAACGTTGATGCCTGGCTTTGTCCTCATGTATTTGTTTTTGTGAATGAAAAATTTATAGGTATGTATTATTAACTGCCCTCTGACATCTTTGATGACCTCACTGCAGTCTGGTAGGTGGCGGTAATGCACCTTAAGTTGGTTACCACCCACCAATAAAATACATTAGAAGAAGAATGTTTGTGATTACTGATCAGCAGGGGGCGCTCACCACCTACCACCGGAAGTAGTAGAAGAAGAACAAACTAAACAAACTAATGTCCATAAAGTCTAGTTTCTCTGACATTTTAGTGTCTCTTAGCTGCAGCTTGAGGGCGGATGTCTGTGTAACAACTGAAGGGTCGCTGCGTGAAAGAGCAAGAGGACCGGAAGACAGAAGGTAACATCCGGTCCCACCTTGAAATGTTTCCTCTTAAATAAAACGCCTGGAAGCAGCTCATCAACGCCGAGCATCACATTAGTTTCCAGACATTATGCTTAATAATGTGTCCTTTAAACTATAAAGAAAAGATAGCAGGCTGTAGCTAATGCTAATGTTAGCTGCACCATCCAGGACCAAATCAGCAGCTGCTGTTCCTCAAACATTTCAGCCTTTGACCCAAAAATAACCAAAAACACACCGCTGAGCACAAAACTCTACTTATTAACACAAATAAAGGGAAGAGATGATGACTTTATGGAATAGAAAATCTCTTTATTGTCCCACAATTGGAAAATTTACAGCAGCAAAAAGATAAAAGAAAAAAATGGTCGCATAAATATGGATTTTAGAAAAATGTATAAGAATAACATAATAGTGGAGAGTTAAAAGATAAACAATAAAATACTGTCCTGTAAAGTGTTTTAACAATATAAAACTGTGCACCTGGAGAACAAATAACCAATATCCAGCTATGGACATTTTTACATTAATGGTTATTTGAAACTAGCAGCAACATCAGAGATGTGCAAAATGACAGCAGCATCTAATTTAACTGACTAAGATAGAAACTGTGCAGAATCAGCATGAATGGAACAATTTATCGAGGTTGTTGGCAACAGTGGTGGTTCTAGAGTCTTCCAGCTGCTGGGAGGAAGGATCTGTGATAACGCTCCCTGGTGCATTTAGGGTGCAGCAGTCTGTCCCTGAAGGAGCTGTCCAGTTCAGCACCAGAGATGTTAAAGGAGAAGTCTGGTCAGCGAGGAATAATCAATGGATCATTATTTATACCCAGAACTAATACAATATAGCATTAATCAGAAAAAATATAAAAATAATAATTTTCGTTGTGATCACTGAGGGGCCATTTCTGCCCAAATATAGTAACCCCTCCCCCCTGCCATCTTCCGGCAGTGACATCATGGTGCGGTAAGCCTAGCGCCATTCTCCCTGCTTTACAAGCAAATCAATGGGAACTACTAGACACATCTGCAATCAACAACAATTATTGAAGATTTCCAGAGGACTTCACCATTGAAATTCACCAGAGCTATAGTGAAACTGACAATGCCCACGTGCATGGCAGCTGGATGCTGGAATACATCGGGTAAAAGTGATAAAAGTTATTCCACCTTTCTGATTCCTGATCCTCCACAGACGGGTTGGTCGTTGGATCGCCAACTTGAAGAGGGAGGATTTGCCATCGAACTTCTGGTCAGAGAAAAAACACGTAATATGTAGCCAACATTTGGAAGAAGAATGTTTTCAAGATGACTTGGATAATAGCGCGTTGTGACAAACACCAGATACAGCATTGGGACTTGATCAACAGCCGATACCACACCGTGACGTCACAAACCAGTAGGTGGCAGTAGTGTTCTTTGACAAACATGGATGCCTCCAGTAAAGCACATTCAATTGAAAATCACTCTGAATTAAAAACACTGATCATTTATTGAACAGTATGTAATAATTTCATATTTAAAGTACTTTCAGAAGTTTGAATTCTGAATATGAGCGGACTTTTCCTTTAATTTAGTTAGGATCTGTCTGTTTCCCACCTCCTGCACTGAGTCCAGATGGGAATCCAATCACAGCTGGCCTTCCTGATCAGCTGATCCAGCCGCTTCCTCTCAGCTACAGATAAGCCACCGCTCCAACAGACAGCTCCATAGAAGATGGCTGATGCCACAACAGAGTCATATGAGGTCTTTAGGAGCGCCCCCTCAGTCTCCTCAGCAGGAAGAGTCTGCTCTGACCTTTCTGATCCAGAGCCTCAGTGTTGGGAGTCCAGTTGTTATTCAGGTGAACACCTCAGCACTTAGAAGAGTCTTCTACATCAATGTCCGTTCCCTGGATGTTCACCAGTGTCAGTGGAGTGGATCTGCTTCTGCTAAAGTCCACCAGTAGCTTAGTAGATTTATAACTTTTATTTTCGAATATGAAATGTCATTATTTATTTTAAGTACTATTTAATGAGTTCATTAATTACCTAATTGTTAATTGCATTATTTAGTGGGATATTTAATAATTGTTTTAGATAAATAAATGTTAAATCTTGTTATCTAAATTTTTCCAGGACATTCATATTGATGTATTTCCTGTTATATTTTCATTGTTCCTTAGGAATCCCAAACCCAGCGTGTGTGAAGCCAGGGCCAACGGGTGGACCTTGATCTCCATCCATCTGGACCAACCAAGAATACGGTGATCATCATGAAGTACTACGAACTGTGTCCTCACTGTGTCTACGCAGCCATCACCATGTAATGTCAGTAAAGCCCAGTGGAGCTTCCGATCCGATCCCGATGTTGACCTGATACAATCTGACACTTTTAATACTTATTTATTAGTGTGGGATTAATATTTGGTTTGATCAACTGGTTTCACTCAGAAAATCAGCAGGTAAGAGAAGGACTGACCCACTGATTATGAACTAACAGATTTAGATGAATGCAATGAGTAAAAGTGACCAACGTGTCCCCAGGTGACCCCCGCTGACGCACCGATGACCTCATCCAACAGCAAGTTCTCTGCCGTCACAGGAAGTTCTCGAAAGGTCGCAGACAATGCGGCCGACTGGCACAACCTGATGGTGAGGTGGGACAAGCTGAACGGCCGTGGATTCCAGCTGGCAACAAACATCGTCAACATGAGGAGGTGATTTCTCTGCCTTCCAACAGAAAGGCTGGTTCCGGTCAGAGTCTCCCTCCTGCTCATGTGACCCTAAATTAGACCCTTTCCAAGGTCATCTTAGATGCAGCAGGGGGCGTTTTACAGGGAAAAAGTTGGACATTTAAAATCTCAAAACAAGATAAATGATCTGAAACTTCTAAATTTAGATTAGTTTCTGGAGCTTTTTGGTTCAAACCTGTTTGTTTTTCATTTAGTGACAGAAACCTTCCTGAGCGGAAAGCAGCTTCACCTCCTTAGCTTCAACCAGGGACCAACATTTTCCACGGAATCGGCCCCATGAGCAAACCTGGGGCCATCTTGGGGCTGGTCACGTGGTGGTTGCATGGTCATGTGACAATGATGGAGCAAAGGATTGTGGGTGTTTAATGTGGGCGCTTCCTGGTAATATTCCTCAAGTAGAAGTACCGTAAATTCCAGACTATAGAGCGCACCTGATTACAAGCCGCACGCTCTAATTTTAGAAAGAAAATCAATTTTGTGCTTTTCTAAGCCGCACCAGATTTTAAGCCGCAGGTTTCCCACATTGTATGAGGTATTTACAAATAAAGAGCATTTTTTTAACGTTTGATTTAATCCGTATGATAAAACAAACAAATACGGTACATATTATGAATGCTTTTTTTTTCAAACTACCTGTAACACATTTAAATATACGTTATTTGTCGTAACACGCAAATAACGCTGCAAATACTGGTACTTTTAATTAAACAACGCACAGAACATTGCAGCTGACCAGGAAAAGTCATTAATCACTTTCTTCTTCCTCCTGCGCACTAAAACCCTCAAAGTCCTCTTCCTCGGTGTCCGAATGGAACAGCTTCAAGATGCTGTCACTGACTTCAGTCTCATCCTAGTCAACTCTCACTTGAGCACTCACGGTCCTCTTCATCCCGCAGCAGCCCAGCCTTCCGAAACCCGCCGGTGATACTGGATGTTTTCACACTCATCAATTTTATTGGTCTGTTTTTCGCGGCATGAAAAAAAAACATGTATTAGGTTCTCCTGGAAGTGAGTTGAAGGTTTGAAACCCCCTCAGATCGTCTGTAAATCTGAGATGTTGGGAGATCTAACCCAGAGATTGTCCTCAGTCCTACTGAGCTCATCAAATGTTTCCCTCCCCAGATCTCAGACTGACCGTCGGCCTCCGGATGACGTCCCTTCAGCTTCCACATCTCAGTCGTTCCCTCCAGCGGTGCAGCAGCACACAGCCGCAGCAGCAGACCTCCAGGAAGAATGCTCCAAAATACAGGCTGTGGTGGACCAGATGGTGATGCTTCCTTTAGCTCTAACCGCCTCTGATATGGAAGAAATAAGACGCTCTGTGAAAAGTTATTTCCTCCCTGCAGATTTACTGAAATAAGTCGAATCAAACATAGATCAGTGTCAGATAAAGAAACTCTGGGTAAATTTCATTCCCGTGGGGAAGGATCTGACCAAACCTGACCTGTAAAATAACCTTATAGATGGCCAGTTAGCGGTTTAAAGGTCTATCCCTTTTCCAAAGAGTTTTGCTTTCTGAGGGAGCACCATGGCTGTGACAGGCGCAGCACGGTGCTGAGACCTGCTGATGTTTGCTATATGGGAAGACTGGATGCTGAAGGAAGACATATGGCAGCAGCTGGGAGGAAGGAGGCCTCCCTGTGTTCACACAGCGGCAGCAGAGGAGAGAAATGTAGAAATGCGTTAAACAGCTTCTACCCACATTTAAAATGAACTACGGCTAAACTAGTAACGGTTTATTTCTATGGCAGCCGTCACTGGAAGGAATACAGAGAAATAAATGAATTTACAGTCGATGCAATAACTTAAGCTCTTAAGCTGAAACACAACCCATCCGACGACACGAAGTAGGCCAAAGATCTCAGACAGAAAACCACATCAGGCTCCAGTGTTTAGAGACTCAGGGGAAAAACCTTTTGGACGCGTCTGTTCGAGCTGGTCCTAAACTAACATCCTCCTTCAGAGGAACCTACAGTTGCACATGGTAGAAGTAGTGTTATGATCTGGGCTGCTCTACTGCTTCATGACCGATGGAAGTTAGCCTCCGCCTGGGATCCAGGCTGAAGCTGGAGCTCCATTGGATGGACCGTGGTACGAATATCAGCAGCTAGTCGGCTTGTGGACGGCTCGGAGAACCAGACGAGTTGCTTTTTTTAATCCTCTTTTGTACTATATAGACTCTTGTTATATTATCTGTTTTATTTTTACTCATAAGCATCTTGCTTTAACTCTTTGTACTCTATATAAGCTACTGGAACCAGAATTTCCCTGAAGGAGTAATCCCAAGGGATAAATAAAGTTGAGTCTGAGTCTAATGGTCCACTACTAAGCTAACCGCACCATAAATTGACGCAGAGTGGGCCAAGGCTGCTCCTCAGTGAAGAACATTACTGATGATCATTAGAGTTTAATGGAAACTCCCCCAGAGCATTAATACTGACTCTGGTCATCCAGACCTCCAACCTGAAGACGTCTGTAGGGGCCACACTGATGTGATTATTTGTCCAGGTGGTCGTCGTGGAGAAGATGGAGCGCCTGACGGCCGTTCAGAAGGGACTCCAGGATCTGGAGGAGTTTCAGTTTGGTCCTGAAGGCAGAGCGTCGCCTCTCTGTCACAGCTGGAGGACTAGAGAGTTCGGTCAGTCCGCCTGTATTTCTGTTTGCTTCATCCACATGCAGAGGATTAGTAATATTTTGTTGTTAAAGTCAAATATATGTTTTATATATATATATATATATATATATATATATATATATACATATATATATATATATATATATATATATATATATATATATATATATATGTATATATATATATATATATATATGTATATATACATGTGTATATATATATATGTATATGTATATATATATATATATATATATATATATATATATATATATATATATGTATATGTATATATACATGTATATGTATATATATATATATATATGTATATGTATATATACATGTATATATATATATATGTATATATATATATATGTATATGTATATATACATGTATATATATATATATATATATATATGTATATGTATATATATGTATATATATATATATATGTATATGTATATATATGTATATATATATATATATATATGTATATGTATATATATGTATGTATATATATATATATATATATATATATATATATATATATATATATGATGATTTTAATCTTAAATAGGTAGTATTTCTAGTTTTTGTAGAGATTGGTTTTAGATATTTCTGTCCGTAAATTAATCCTCCAGTTTTCCACATTTATGGAAACGAGCATTTTTAAATTCTCTGTTTTAATAATGGCTGATTGGAGTTTTCTTCCTCTCCAGATGTTCAGGTAGGAAGTTTTTATTAGGCATGTTGTGACAGTTGGAGCAGACACCTCATTGGACGCTGGCCTACGTGCCCAAAGGGCGGCCATCTTGGATCAGACCACAGTTCAGACAGCTGCTGTCAGAATGAATAGGAGGCGCCTTAGATCTCATTTTAATTACATGAAAGACGAGTCAGAGTTAATATTACAATAATCTCTTCCATGTCACAATCCCTTAAAAGACCAAACAAACTAACATTACCTTTCCCTTAGATTACACAGATTTATTCAGATTAAAAACTATTTAAACTGAACCTAAACTGGATGAGATACATTATATATTTTTCAATCAAATATTAAAGTTTTACGTTATAGGGTCATGTTTTACAAATATATATATATTTATATAGTATATTATGATTGTTATTCAGCATTTTAAAGATTGTTTTGTGATTTACAAAAGAGAGTAGTTATTTTGTTTTAAAAAAAATAATTTTACGTTAATTTTTATTTATTTTCTGTTATTGTCAAGACTTTTTGTCAAATCATATTGAATGGTAAATTTGTTGTCCAACTAAAGCCTTTTTGTCCAAAACTCTTTTATAAACTGTTTTTTTTCTGTCATTATTTTTGTATATGTGAACATTTGTTCTTTAATCTCATAATGTGTGACATATATAATATATTTATGAGATATGCAGATGAGATCTAAGGCGTTTCCTTTTCCTATACAGCAGCTTTCTGAACTTTGGTCTAATCCAAGATGGCCGCCCTCTAGGCAAGTCGGCCTCGCTGCTGACGGCGTCCAATGAAGCGTCTACATATATAATGTCTAATGAGCAAACGGCTGTAAGAGCCCCTCAGCTAGCAGGTATTAGCGCAGCGCAGGCGGGCCCATCTGATTGGCGGATCCAGCTTCCTGCCAGCTGATTGGCTGTCTGTCGTTTCAGTGGATTCTGCTCAGGTTCTGTTGGCCGCCTTCAGTCAGGAGCTGAAGTTGAAGCAGGTGGTTCTGCAGGAGCTGGCCCACACCGCGTCCGCCGACCTGCAGCTGGTCTACCTGTCCTGTTGGCTCCACCAGCCCTACATCCCCCCCCAGAGCAGGCTGACTCTGGAGGCGCTGCTGCTGGAGACGGGGCACCGCCCACTCTGAGGCCCCACATCACTGGGACCAGCATCTTTTACTGGGATGTCTGAATATGGAAATAAAACTGAAACTGCTGCAATAAATAAATGTTTTCACCTTTAGATGGTTTCATTATTCGTTTCTTTAGGGGCGGGGCTTCGATTTATCACTGTGTGGCTTTCAGTAGGATTTTTCTGAATGTTCAGACTTATGAGGACATTCTGGACTTCCTTACATCTAGGCCCTTATACATCTATCAGGGACCAGAAGCACTAAACAACAGGAGCAAACAGGAACTTTAAACCTGCAATAGCATCTAAGAGCTCCGCCCCCTCCTCAGAAGCGTTCTTTATATTCTGATCGAGCTCCTCAGTGATGAGATTCACTCAGTTTACATTTGATCCACTTATTAAAATCATCCCAGGTCAAAGATGGCATCCTGCATGCCTAGACCCCTCCCCCAGCACAGACTCATAGCTATCTGAATGAGCCTATTGTCCCGATAAGAATTAAAGCTGAAGTCTGTAAGTTTTTAAAAATTACTTTTTTGTCATATTGGCTAAAACTGTCCCTATGCCCAGACAGCAGTACATGTGATATGTAACCTGTGAAAAAAACTGCTTCAATTGGTCCCACATACTGCCTGTATTTCAATCTGGAAAGAATAATTCGGGACGAGTCAAAACAACCAATCACAGCCAGAGGAGCGTCTGATGGAGTGTCAATCACAGCTCCCCCCCCCTCACCGCTTAACCTGCCGCAGCGCCCGGCTGCCGCAGTCAGGAGGACGCGCGTGGAAGTCATGGCGGAGCGACAGCCACCAGCGAAAGAGAAACTGCCCTTACTGCCCCTGCCGACAACTGCTTACACGGCTTATATCTAGCTGCTTGGAGGTGAGTGTTATCGCTCTTACCGGTTCACACTCCATGCCGCGTACGCTGCTTGGACGCTTCTGGTCGCATGTGGTAGCCGCGCAGGTGCTGTGAGAGGGGTGGGGCATGAGTGAAGCAGAGAGGGTGGGGGAGTGGCGTGAAACCTGTTTTTCTTCAAATTTTCAGTCGAAGTCTGCTCTCTTCTCAATGTTACAGACTGCAGCTTTAAAATTGATGGATTACAGTCATTTGCTGAGATTGAAAGACTGATAAAACATTGGGAAGATGAAGATCCTGAAGCTGCTGGAAGGATTGATCCCGTCTGACTGGGCTGAACCAACCTTTATCAGCTGTAAAATTCATTTCAAACATTAAAAACTTAAATATCTTTGCCTCATAGATTCAAATTTCCTGTCATGTTAATGATTATGACTCTTAAATTAGAACATCTGTATCCAGCTGTTCTGAGAAGAACTGTCAGGCCTTATTTTCTCCTTCCACTCAATCTATGGATCAGTTTGTCCTCCCCATGATGGACCCATCTGCAGCAGAGGTCTTGAAGGAACACCTTCCTGCTGCTTCCACACACCAGAACCAAATAATCAGGTCATTAGCAGGACTCTGCAGACCTGAAGGCAGTTTGGACCAGGGATGTTCATGAAACCTTTGAAGGGGTTCTGTGTTTACCTGATGGGGGAACATTGTGAAAGGTTTCACTTTTTCATGATTTAGACTGAATTTTGGGTCCTCATCTGCAGACAGTCTTCCTCCTGACATCCTCTATCCTCTGAGGAGCCGCGTCTCACTGTGTGGACCTCCTTTGATGGCTCCTGCCTGTTTCTACTGAATCACCAAACTGAGGGCGGTTTCTATCAGGGCTTTATTGGAAGAAGGTAACATGTAGTGGATACTGACCCCCCCCGCTTCAAAGACATGACTGATGCTTTATAAAAAGTAATAAAATAGTGAAACTCTTTAACTTTGTTCATGGTCTTTATCTACATATAAACATCCAACCTTCTAGTTTTAAATGCGTATGTGGTAAAAACACGGAAGAGATGTAGAGATGTTCAAAGGTCCTGGCAGCAGCAGAGCTCAAGCGCTTCGCCGTCACTGCAGAGGCTTCTGGGTCAGGATTCTCTCCTCTGATGAAACACCAGATCCTACGGCGTTAAGAAAACCGCCTCATTCCGGGAAAACTCTGGTTCCTCTTCAGCGTTCCGCACTTGATCCTCCAGGAAATGAATGTTCTGGAGCCCCGCACCCACCTGACACAAACACAAAGGCTGGGGGCCGGGATCCCAGCCCACACCAGAGACAGAAGCAAACTGGTCCCAGTATGAGGATCTGTAGGGTTTAATGGTCCAAACGGGACAGACGGACCTCTGCAGAACCCAAATACGGACCAAAGCAAGGCGCCCCCCCATTTAATCCGTCATTTCATGCGTTTGATTTCTGAAAAAGATTTATTTCAGAAACAGAAAAATAAAAACGAACAAATGAAGTGCAGACAGTCAGAGGGGGAGGGGCCGGACCAGCAACGTAAAACAGGAGAAATGAAAGGTTCTGAGGGACGATTGTCATGTGGGATATGCCCCCCCCCCCCCCCCCATGGTTCCAACATTCAGAGCGGCTGGACCTCCTTCTAGATTCCAACCTGTCGTAGGAGGAGGTGCTGCAGCCCTCTCTGTCCCTGCCTCCTGCTCAGCCAACAGTCGGGTGTTTGTGGACTCGACCCGGCCGCCCATTGGCTGGCGCTGACCCAGAGCACCCGCTCGCCCGCCCGTTTTCAGGCCCCTTCATCAGCGGTACTGTTCGGGGGGAGCTGAGCTCAGTCTTGGCTCTGCTGAGGAGGTTTGTCTCCGTCTGAAGCCTCGATGCCCAGCAGAGCCTGCACCGCCTCCAGGGGAACCCCTTCTGGGGTCTGGATGTGCATGGTGGTTCCGTCTGGCCCGTTGACGATGACGATCCCGTCCGACCCCGGCTCAGCCAGCTGGACCGTCAGCCCCTCGGTCTGGATGTAGATCTCCTGCCCCGCCTGCAGCTCCCTGGGCTCTGCAGACCCAGGATCAGGCTTGGAGGAGGCTGAGGGTTGGGGGGGGCTGGACTCCAGCGTCTGAGTGTCTGTGGTTCCCTTAGGGCTGGAACTAGGAGCGCCGTCTTGTTGGGTCATCTGGTCAGAGGCGTCGGCCATGTCTTCGTCCTGGACTGAGGGCTCCGGCGCCTCCTTCTGCTCCTCCAGGGGGCTGGCAGTAGGTGGGACCAGTGTGGGAGGTGGTGCAGCAGGGGAGGTGGCAGAAGAGCTGGAAGATCAAGACAAAATGGGTCCACAGAATATCAGCGTAAACTCAACTATTCTAGTGTTTTAGAACAGAAATTAAACCCGGGCCGTTTCTCACTATGTGTTCTTGTGCGTTCTCGTGTCCTCGACCGTCATCAGCCTCAGCCATAGCACTGTTCCAATTCACAAGAACAGCAGAGAGCTGACAAAGTCCCCAGATGTTGTTCTGGCCCCTCCCTCTTTACCCAGCATGCATCAGAGCAGAATTGTCCATCCTCCGTACTGACAACTGTCCCAGCATGCACTGCGGCAGCTGCAGCTTCCAGGTTAGCGCTCACAGAGCTCAGAGGATTAAGTTAAATGTTCTCTTTTCTGTTGCCGTTGTTCAATAAAAGTACGTTTTAAGATCATTTGAGGCGAGAATATTATAATTTAAACTTCACTATATGGAACATTTAATGATTTAGTGCATAAATTAAAAAAAAGTATTATGATGTTGAGAAGACAGTGGACACAAGCAGAGCTCCAAGGCTAACGATAGCCCGGGCCGGTCCTGAAACAGTCTGTTCTTAGATTAGTTCTTAGACTGAGGAGCTTCTAGCTGTCAGGGCTAGTCCTAGTTTACCTGGACGGCTTTATAAGGAAACAATGTCTCCATGGTGATGGAGCTCAGTTGAACTAGAATCAGGGTCCACTCACCTGGAGGTAGGTTCAGTAGAGCTGGTCAGAACTTTGGATCCACCTGAAATATCCAGGGGAGACATGGAGACGGAACAGGACTTCAGCAGAGGGGAAGGGGCCGAGGTCACCGGAGCGGCACCTTTGAGAGAAAACACACACATGATCACAGATATGAAAACAGCTCCTAATCCTGAGGTTCTTCCCATAGCAGCTCCATAACTGGGAGCTGAGGCAACATGATCCATGAAGGCCTGGGGGCCCCAGGTTGCCACCTCTCCCACAGAGAAATAATCTTTGAAGGCAGGATGGTAATCTGGATGAGCTGACTGCACAGACCATGTTTTCAGGAGGACTTTCTCACTTCAAATTAGATTCAAACTAATTTTCACAGCAAATATAGCTGCCATTAAAGGCAAAGAAAAGATAGGGTAGCTCCGCCCACCGTGCATCAGACCCACCTTTCCACCGCGCAGCTAGAGCAGCAAAGATGCTTCAGCCGCACGTCTTCAATTGTAAAAGCATAAAAAATTAAACAGCACACGTGTTTTAGCTGCTCCTGCTGCTTGTGGTCAGAATGTAGCATTAGTATGATGTCACATTCAGACAGAGACCTGAGGAATTGCTGCAGAGTCAATCTCTCCCATGGCCGCTGGGAAGTGGGGGTGCTGCAGATCTCCCCTAGTGGCGAGGGAGTTTTTTTTTATGTTTTAAAAATACTTTTTATAAATTACTTAAGAATTTATGGGAAATTATTTTTACTTTTTTTATTTTACTATTCTGTGTATTTGGATGTTAATGTAATTATATTGAGGCCTAATCAACACAAGTTCACAGGAGTTGCATTGTCATGGCAACATCAAGCAAGCTAGAGCTTGGTAACCCGCTTATGGTGGCAGACTTTTAAATGTACATAGTCTAATGGCAGAAACGAGGAGGAAAAATGGCACAGGAATGCATTTTAGATTTTTTTTTTGAAACCACCACCAGTGAAGAAGAACGCTGATACCGCAACCACGACAACGGAGAGCAGCCGGAGTGAGGAGACAGTCTCCCTAGCGTGACTGGATTAAACAAGGCAACATCCACTTCCTGCTCGGTTTGCTGGATGGCAGTGGCTGCATGATGTGGAAGAGACGGATCAGATTTTGTGTTTTGTTTGTCTGAAAGCAGTCAGAAAAAAGTCATACCTAGACACAAATCTTAGAAAGACAACCCCTTCGTGAATGCCGGCTTTTCAATAATAATAATAATAATAATACATTTTATTTGTATTGCACTTTACATTTAAAAAAAATCTCAAAGTGCTACAAAATTCATAGTTAAAAACAAAACCGTACAATAAAAACAGCATACATAGTTAAAATGAGACATTACAATAAAATAACATACGAAGAAAAAACAAAACAGTAAAATAACCATAAAACCACACAGATAAAATACTAACTAATGTTCAAAGGCCATTTTAAATAAAAATTTTCAAATAGACATAAAGCCACTAAAAAGTATCATTGTGAAGTTAATTAACTGATAAATGATTAATTTGATTAATGATGTCTGTGTGTTACAGGCCCTGGTTGCATGCACTGAAGTGACAATGAAGTAGTGAATCTCAATCTCTTTATTTATTGTATTTTAAATAAGCCTTAAGGCTCATAGGTATTTTGTCCAAAAAAAAAGAAAAGTAATTTCACAGCACCCCCTGATCCAAATGACTTCCAGCGGCCCTGATCTCTCCTGTCTAGATCCTGCAAAGTCAGTGACTGGATGCAATCAGCTGCTTTTTCCTTACAAACTTGAATCTGACTGGATGCTCTGGTTGATCTAGATCTATAAAGACCTGGGCTGACACGATGAATTGGAGCTAAAGAAGTAAACAATTGAAACAAATAAATGTAAGCTCTGCATGCAGCGCCTCATTAATCCCGTGTTAACCGCCATCCTACACGTCTGCCTCTCTACCAGCAAAGAGGGCGGAGCCTCACGCATGTCCATCAAACAGGCTGAATTATAAATACATGCTTTGGATCGGTACCTGCTCTTGGCGCCTCGGTGCCGTTCTGGTGATCTCCAATGTTGTTTTCCATCTTAAATCTCTTCGATGGCGGCAACATCTTGGAGTTCTGGAGAACAAGAAGACGTTTGATTACGTTAAAGTGAAACTGAAGGTGCATCTACTTTTCTGCAGCCTCTAGATGCTTCTCTGTTTCCACACCTGAATCCCCTCCTCAGCCTGCAACCGCCTCCTCCTGCTGATGACCTGGTCATGTGATTCCATCAGCAGAGCTGGAGGAGCGTAACGGAGGAAGCCTGGCCTAACCTAGGCCTGCAACGCCATTATTTTGCTAATAGATTAATCTCTCATATTTCGATCTATACTCCAGTTAACGATTAAGCCATTACTAAATTAGTTAACAATTATTTCAATAATCGATCAGATTAATAGTTTCAGCTCTAGTCCAGACTGAGTTTTCCACCCTGACTGATTTGTTCTTAGTTGTAATCTTCTCTACGGGGTCTTTACTCGCATTCTTCTGGGTTTCTGAAGGTCTTTATGAACCAGCCGTTATCATCTGGAAATTAGCTTTTCTGTGAGGATTATCAGAGCAGGGTTGACTCCAGGTAAAGAAATGTTTTAGATACTTCAAACCACTGAATGATGTCACTTTGATAACTACAGGTGCTGGTCATAAAATTAGAATATCATGAAAAAGTAGATTGATTTCAGTAATTCCATTTAAAAAGTGAAACTTGTATATTATATTCATACATTACATACAAACTCATATATTTCAGATGTTTATTTTTTTTAATTTTGATGATTACAAATGACAACAAATGAAAATCTCAAATTCATCATATCAGAAAATTAGAATATTGTGAAAAGGTTCAAAATTGATGGCCCCTGGTGCCACACTCTAATCAGCTAATTAACTCAAACCACCTGCAAAAGCCTTTAAATGGTCTTTCAGTCTAGTTCTATAGGCTACACAATCATGGGGAAGACTGCTGACTTGACAGTTGTCCAAAAGACGACCATCGACACCTTGCACAAGGAGGGCAAGACACAAAAGGTCATCGCTAAAGAGGCTGGCTGTTCACAGAGCTCAGTGTCCAAGCACATTAATAGAGAGGCGAAGGGAAGGAAAAGATGTGGTCGAAAAAAGTGTACAAGCAAGAGAGATAACCGCACCCTGGAGAGGATTGTGAAACAAAACCCATTCAAAAATGTGGGGGAGATTCACAAAGAGTGGACTGCAGCTGGAGTGAGTGCTTCAAGAACCACCACACACAGACGTATGAAAGACATGGGTTTCTGCTGTCGCATTCCTTGTGTCAAGCCACTCTTGAACCACAGACAGCGTCAGAAGCGTCTTGCCTGGGCTAAAGAGAAACAGGACTGGACTGCTGGTGAGTGGTCCAAAGTCATGTTCTCTGATGAAAGTAAATTTTGCATTTCCTTTGGAAATCAAGGTCCCAGAGTCTGGAGGAAAAGAAGAGAGGCACTTCATCCACGTTGCTTGAAGTCCAGTGTAAAGTTTCCACAGTCAGTGATGGTTTGGGGTGCCATGTCATCTGCTGGTGTTGGTCCATTGTGTTTTCTGAGGTCCAGGGTCAACGCAGCCACATACCAGGAAGTTTTAGAGCACTTCATGCTTCCTGCAGCTGACCAACTTTTTGGAGATGCAGATTTCATTTTCCAACAGGACTTGGCACCTGCACACAGTGCCAAAGCTACCAGTACCTGGTTGAAGGACCATGGTATCCCTGTTCTTAATTGGCCAGCAAACTCTCCTGACCTTAACCCCATAGAAAATCTATGGGGTATTGTGAAGAAGAAGATGCAATACACCAGACCCAACAATTCAGAAGAGCTAAAAGCCACTATTAGAGCAACCTGGGCTATCATAACACCTGAGCAGTGCCAAAGACTGATCGACTCCATGCCACGCCGCATTGCTGCAGTAATACAGGCCAAAGGAGGCCCAACTAAATACTGAGTGCTGTACATGCTCATACTTTTCATGTTCATACTTTTCAGTTGGCCAACATTTCTATAAATCCTTTGTTTTTATTGGTCTTCAGTAATATTCTAATTTTCTGATATGATGAATTTGAGATTTTCATTTGTTGTCATTTGAATTCATCAAAATTAAACAAAATAAACATCTGAAATATATGAGTTTGTATGTAATGTATGAATATAATATACAAGTTTCACTTTTTAAATGGAATTACTGAAATCAATCTACTTTTTCATGATATTCTAATTTTATGACCAGCACCTGTATTTACTGTCTGGATCTGGTTCCCTCAGAGTTTAAAGACTTCTCACTCAGATCATCTTCCTCAAAAACTGAAATTTGTATAAATTTCAGTCTAACTGATCCTGTTTGGGGAGGCGGTCTTTGATTTTACTGAAATTGATTACTGAAATCAATCTACTTTTTCATGATATTCTAATTTTATGACCAGCACCTGTATTTACTGTCTGGATCTGGTTCCCTCAGAGTTTAAAGACTTCTCACTCAGATCATCTTCCTCAAAAACTGAAATTTGTATAAATTTCAGTCTAACTGATCCTGTTTGGGGAGGCGGTCTTTGATGGCGTAGAAGCTGCGTTGGTAAAGGTGGCATTCACCCTGATGGACAAGCAGCACAGAAGACGGATGGATTCCAAAAAAAGTTAAAAACAATCCACTGAACTTTGTTTCCAAATTTGAAGACGTTTCTCTTCCCATCCAGGAAGCTTTTTCAATTCAAAATGTCAGAAATAGCGTTTAGTTCCAGGTTTTATCCAGCAGCCCAACAAAACCTTGTTTTTGTTTAGAAAACATGCAAATAGAAACGGATGGACAGGTCCACCCCCTTGGAATGGAGGTCGTTTGGCTTCTTTGTTAGCCTGCAATGCCCCATACCTGTCTATGTCTCTGAAAGGGGGTCGTTAGAGGGAATTGTTGGCCTGGCTGAATAGATGAGGTCTTCTGTTCCCCTGTAAAGGGGTTGAGATGATAGCGGGAAGGAATCAACTCTATCGCTGCATTGTAGGTTTCTGAAAGCTGAAATCTGAGTCCCCTCCCCTCTGTTTAAGGTTGGTTTCTCTTTCTTAACATAGATGGCTTCCTTCAAGCCCCTCTCAAACCACCTGTCTTATTTGTCCAAAATGGGAACATTCTGGTTACAATGCACAAATAGTTTTAATTAAAAATGACCTTCGTAGAGCTGAGGCCTGCTGCCCCCGTGTGGTCAGAACCAGAACTAAACAGGCTAAGGCAGGTTATAGATGCTCAGTAGCTATGTTCATAAACTGTTGGTCTCTAAAATCAGGACTGAAACATCACTGATTCCTGCAGATTTACATTAAAACAAAGTTTACGGCTTATTTCCAGCTTCTCCTTTGCTTTAAATCTGTTTTAATGCTCCTTGATTTTGTTCTGATTGTTACATTTTAGCAATGCTTTCCTGGTGTTCAGCTCTTTGGTCAAATGTGTGATGGTTTTACATATCCCAAACTTCCTGACATTATGCTTACCCCCATGTACCGCACATTTTTACTGTTCACAGCCGAGACTGGGGCCGCTCCAGGAACCACTTTCATCTTGTTCACCTCATCCAGGATCCCCAGAGACCTGGCCACCTGCAACAGTGGAGAACGGACGCCGCGTCACATGACCTGCTGCTCACAGCTGCTGGACTCGGAAAGGAAAGATGGGCTCACCTCGATGTTCCTGACCTCCACCGGCATGGCTCCACCTAGAGGACTGGAGATGTAGTCCTGTGCAGTCTGTCTAACTTGGCCATGCAGAGATTCAAACTCGTGGTAGATGTCTGGGAAACTGCTGCAGGCTGAACTCTTGCAGTCCAGCTGAAGGAGGAGGAGGACGTCAAACGTTAATAACCTACTGGTCTGCTTCCCTACTCCCTGTGAAGGCTGTCCAATAAACTAAGAAAACAAGAGATGGGAACCTTATAAGGAGCAAACAGAACCAGATCCACAGCAGCTGATTTTGAGCTGAGGTTTGTTTTAAAAGACGGGGGATTTGCTGCAGATATGCTGCTATAACTGATCCTAAACCATGACACCGTCGCCTCCATGCTTCACAGGATGGATGAGCTTTAACAGGACAGAGCTGAGTCATGATGTTCTCCTCACGGTCTGCCATTTTGAGAGGCATCTGCAGACCTGCACAGCAGGGTCTTCTGCACTGCCAGGACTGCAAGATTATTCCAGATATTTCAATCGAAGCATTCAGGAGTAGTTTGTATGAGCTGCCACATTTTATTAGAAGGACATTTTCTTTTTGTGAGGTGAGAGCTCACTTAGATCTGCCGTCTCACCACTTAAAAACCAAGAAAATCATGTTTTCTTATAATTTTTAAGTGATTTTCTTTCACTTATTCCAACATGATCTGTCTCTTACAGACGGATGTTTCTCCTGCTGGAGCTTCACCTAAAGTTAAACGCTGCGTCATGCTGGGAAATCTGCTTTTTTCACCATAAATTAAATAAAATAGACATTTGAAAGTTTGTTTCATTTCCACTGTTTTCTCAGGTGTCGTGGAAAAGTAAACTGAAGTTATTGTCTATTGTGGTCATTATGGAGGTATTCAGTAATTCACTGAGAACCCAAAGCTTAGTTAATATGAAATCCCAGCCTCCATTGGTTTATCTATGTGGTACAACAGCACAAACAATACTGAAAGAATAAAAAAAATAGAATATAACACTGGCAAATACACATTATTGTTATTTTGACATTTTCTTGCATTTTTTTACTTTATCCAGTTGAACTGGACAGAGATTATATATAAATCATTGAACACATAAATAGAGAAAATATTTCTATTATGGAGACCGAGGAAATGAAGACAGAATGTAAAATATTCCTAATATACTAACTTTTATTTTACTTCGCTTTAACTTGGAAAGGCTTTGAATAAACTGGTTCTGACAGCGGAGGAGAACCTCACAGTGCAGGTTCTGCACCTAGACTGTTTTGGCCATTTTACTCATAGAGATAAAGAGACAACTCCTTCGTAAATGCAGACTTTTCAACTTGGCCTAAGCCTCTGAAAATGTTATAATGTGAAATTTTATTAACTGATAAATGATGTCTGTGTGTTAAGGGCTGGTTATCCTCCCGGCAGCAGTGTGTCTCAGTGAGCTTGATGCTATGTTATTCCACGCCACAAGGCAAAAGGGGAAAATCAGGAACTAGCTGTAGGTCTAGATACGGCCGAGGCAGTGAGGAAGTGGGGGGCAACAGAAGGACATGAGGATTAAAAAGAGCAGGGATCCAGGTGGAAAAAGGGTCCCAGCGTTCTCCTGCACCTCGCTCTTCTAGCTGGTCCATCTTCAACAGTCGTTTTACACAATGGCAGTTGGACAAACAAAACAAGCCGGTAAGGAACCAAACAGGAAATACGCATAGTGTAGATCGGATGTAGATTTGACCAATCAGAGGCCTCCTGTCTGTCAATTTTGGAGAGGTGCAGCAGATTGTCTGTGGAAGGGTGTAGGGTGTGGGGGGGACGTCACCGCTACACCTACGCAGACGATCTGGTTTCTGAGTATAAATTTGCCTTAGCCCTATTTATTTATTGTATTTTAAATAAGCCTATAGGCTCATAGGTATTTTGTCCAAAAAAAAAAAAAAATTAATAAATCTGTTTCACAGCACCCCCTGATCCAAATGACTTCCAGCTGCCCTGATCTCTCCTGCCTGGATCCTGCAAAGTCAGTGACTGGATGCAATCAGCTGCTTTTTCCTTACAAACTTGAATCTGACTGGATTTTCTGGTTGATCTAGATCTATAAAGACCTGGGCTGACACGATGAATTGGAGCTACAGAAGTAAACAATTGAAACAAATGAATTTCAGCTCCATATGCTGCGACTGAACGTCTTATTACATCTTAATCTTAATTAAGATTAATCTTGGAGGAAGTGGCTGAGAAGAGGATGCTCTCCAAACTCACATCCATCATGGACAACACCTCTCACCTCCTGCACCAGACTGTAGAGGAGCTGAGCAGCTCCTTTAGTCAGAGACTTAGACACCCTGTCTGTAAGAAGGAGGTCAGCATTCCGGCTGCCACCAGACTCTACACTCACCGGTCACTTTATTAGGTACACCTGTCCAACTGCTCGTTAACACTTAATTTCTAAGCAGCCAAACACATGGCGGCAACTCAGTGCATTTAGGCATGTAGACATGGTCAAGACAATCTCCTGCAGTTCAAACCGAGCATCAGTATGGGGAAGAAAGGTGATTTGAGTGACTTTGAACGTGGCATGATTGTTGGTGCCAGAAGGGCTGGTCTGAGTATTTCAGAAACTGCTGATCTACTGGGATTTTCACGCACAACCATCTCTAGGGTTTACAGAGAATGGTCCGAAAAAGAAAAAACATCCAGTGAGTGGCAGTTCTGTGGGCGGAAATGCCTTGTTGGTGCCAGAGGTCAGAGGAGAATGGCCAGACTGGTTCGAGTTGATAGAAGGGCAACAGTGACTCAAATAACCACCCGTTACAACCAAGGTGGGCAGAAGAGCATCTCTGAGCGCACAGTACGTCGAACTTTGAGGCAGATGGGCTACAGCAGCAGAAGACCACACCGGGTGCCACTCCTTTCAGCTAAGAACAGGAAACTGAGGCTACAATTTGCACAAGCTCATCGAAATTGGACAATAGAAGATTGGAAAAACGTCGCCTGGTCTGATGAGTCTCGATTTCTGCTGCGACATTCGGATGTTAGGGTCAGAATTTGGCGTCTACAACATGAAAGCATGGATCCATCCTGCCTTGTATCAACGGTTCAGGCTGGTGGTGGTGGTGTCATGGTGTGGGGAATATTTTCTTGGCACTCTTTGGGCCCCTTGGTACCAATTGAGCATCGTTGCAACGCCACAGCCTACCTGAGTATTGTTGCTGACCATGTCCATCCCTTTATGACCACAATGTACCCAACTTCTGATGGCTACTTTCAGCAGGATAATGCGCCATGTCATAAAGCTGGAATCATCTCAGACTGGTTTCTTGAACATGACAATGAGTTCACTGCACTCAAATGGCCTCCACAGTCACCAGATTTCAATCCAATAGAGCATCTTTGGGATGTGGTGGAACGGGAGATTTGCATCATGGATGTGCAGCCGACAAATCTGCGGCAACTGTGTGATGCCATCATGTCAATATGGACCAAACTCCCTGAGGAATGCTTCCAGCACCTTATTGAATCTATGCCACGAAGAATTGAGGCAGTTCTGAAGGCAAAAGGGGGTCCAACCCGTTACTAGTATGGGGTACCTAATAAAGTGGCCGGTGAGTGTATAATGCTGCACTATCACCACAATAACTCCTGTAAAAACCACTGTGCAGCTATATTGTATTTTTTTTATTTATTGACTGTGCAATATTCTGTGCAATATGCTGACTATGCAATATATGTGAATATAATAGTCATACCACTACCTCACCGTTGTTCCTTACCTACTACACTTTAACGTAAAAGTCAATCCACCTGTATATAAACCATCCGGATTGTAAATATGTCACCTCAAACCTCTGTGTTACTCCCTTGGATTTTTTTATTTTCTTATTTTTATTTTGTTTTTCATACATGTACACTTGCACCTTAATCCTTGAGATACTGTATATACACTATATTGCCAAAAGTATTTGCTCACCTGCCTTGACTCACATATGAGCTTAAGTGACATCCCGTTCCTAATCCATAGGGTTCAATATGACGTCGGTCCACCCTTTGCAGCTAGAACAGCTTCAACTCTTCTGGGAAGGCTGTCCACAAGGTTTAGGAGTGTGTTTATGGGAATTTTTGACCATTCTTCCAGAAGCGCATTTGTGAGGTCGCACACTGATGTTGGACGAGAAGGCCTGGCTCTCAGTCTCCGCTCTAATTCATCCCAAAGGTGTTCTATCGGGTTGAGGTCAGGACTCTGTGCAGGCCAGTCAAGTTCATCCACACCAGACTCTGTCATCCATGTCTTTATGGACCTTGCTTTGTGCACTGGTGCACAGTCATGTTGGAAGAGGAAGGGGCCAGCTCCAAACTGTTCCCACAAAGTTGGGAGCATGGAATTGTCCAAAATGTCTTGGTATGCTGAAGCATTCAGAGTTCCTTTCACTGGAACTAAGGGGCCAAGCCCAGCTCCTGAAAAACAACCTCACACCATAATCCCCCCTCCACCAAACTTTACACTTGGCACAATGCAGTCAGACAAGTACCGTTCTCCTGGCAACCGCCAAACCCAGACCCGTCCATCAGATTGCCAGATGGAGAAGCGCGATTCGTCACTCCAGAGAACGCGTCTCCACTGCTCTAGAGTCCAGTGGCGGCGTGCTTTACACCACCGCATCCGACGCTTTGCATTGCACTTGGTGATGTATGGCTTGGATGCAGCTGCTCGACCATGGAAACCCATTCCATGAAGCTCTCTGCGCACTGTTCTTGAGCTAATCTGAAGGCCACATGAAGTTTGGAGGTCTGTAGTGATTGACTCTGCAGAAAGTTGGCGACCTCTTCGCACTATGCGCTTCAGCATCCGCTGACCCCGCTCCGTCAGTTTACGTGGCCTACCACTTCGTAGCTGAGTTGCTGTCGTTCCCAAACACTTCCATTTTCTTATAATACAGCTGACAGTTGACTGTGGAATATTTAGGAGCGAGGAAATTTCACGACTGGATTTGTTGCACAGGTGGCATCCTATCACAGTTCCACGCTGGAATTCACTGAGCTCCTGAGAGCGACCCATTCTTTCACAAATGTTTGTAAAAACAGTCTGCATGCCTAGGTGCTTGAATTTATACACCTGTGGCCATGGAAGTGATTGGAACACCTGATTCCAATAATTTGGATGGGTGAGCAAATACTTTTGGCAATATAGTGTATATTATTTATTCTTAATGCACCTTTTTCCTCCTTGTTTGCACCTTCTTTAATTATTATGCCAATATGTGACCAGTGGATTTCTCCGCTGTGAGATCAATAAAGCTCATCTAATCTAATCTAACGAATCCATTCCAGGCTGGAATAAACACAAATGTGTCCAAATCTCTTCCTCAGCATTAACGCCTTTATTGTTGATCACTGCTGGTCTCATGCTTGTGTAAATGTTTTACTCACCTTTGCCAGCAGCAGCTCCCACAGACTTAACATACTGGTCAAACGAGGAAGAACGACCTCCATCAGTTCTTCATCCTCACACTGCTCCACCAGCTGTAGGCAGCCAGAGACACAGATCACTGGTCAGGCATGAGGTCAGCAGCTCAGTGACCTCCTGACATCACAGAACGCTGGTGACCAGCAGAGCTTCCTTTTACCTCCTGCAGCCTTTGCTGTCTCCTCTCTGCCAGCTGCTTGACAGTCACTGGGAGGACGCCGAGCTTCGGGGGACGCCCTCGACGACCGGGTCTACCCACCAGCCCAACTGTCACCTGCCAGAACCAACCAATCAGATGACAGAAGAAACATCAAACATAATCTGATTGGAAGAAGGCACAGGTGGTCCCTCACTGGTTCTGGAAGGTTTCAATCTGACCTAAAGTGTTTGTTTTTTTAAATGCTGATTTTTGATCAGACTGAGACAGAAATCCCTCATCAGACCTGGAAGCAGAACCTGGTAGATGAGACGTTCAGGGAACAAAAGGCTGATCCACAGCACGAATCTGGAGCAAACGTTTTAGTGACGCATTGAAAGCTGACCAACCTTAGGAGGAGGCCCCAGGGATCGGCCTCGGCCCCTGCCTCTTCCTCTCCCCCGTCCTCTTCCTCTCCCCCGGCCCCTGGGGCGCCCGGGGCCGCGGTGCTGAAGGATGCCGAGTCCTTCGGTTTCCACACGGCCGCGGTCTCCCTGAGGACAAGCAGAGCAAACGGGTCAGCTAACAGGATCAGAACCTGATGATAGAACCGGGACGTTCTGAACATGTTTCAACATGAAATGCTTAGTGGACCATCCAAAACCTGCAGCATTTCTGTGACTTCCAATCATAATGTTCCTAAAATCAGCTACAGCACATTACAACAATTCCCCACATTTGATTTGGACAGATTCTGAAAAGTTAATAATAAAAAACTGCTCTGGCTGCGCGGTGGAAAAGTGGGTCTGATGCGCGTTGGGCGGAGCTACCCTATCCTTTCTTTGCCTTTAATGGCAGCTATATTTGCTGTGATCAGTGGGTAAAAAGTAGTTTGAATCCTTTGAGTCCATCTGAAAACATGGTCTGTGCAGTCAGTTCATCCAGATTACCATCCTGCCTTCAAATATTATTTCTCTGTGGGAGCCGCTCAGACCCACACATACCGGCGGGGCGCCGTCCCTGGGAATCCCCAGCAGCAGCTGCCTCAGGCCCGCTCGCCTCTAAGCGATTTTCTGCAAATATTCGTGGTGGCTGGAAGTAGATGTTAGCGTTTTTCAGTTATGTGCTACAAACTGCAGGAACCAGGATAATAAAAGCAAACATATTCTGCCGGCAGGTTTCTACATTTTAAGTGAATTTAGGCGTTAAACTGTTTCAGAGGAGTGATCATAGTGCTCTTCATCAGCAGTGCTGTGTCTGACTCCCTGCCAGCTCCCAGATCAGCTTCTCTGATTGGTTGATGTGGCGCGTCCAGCAGTTAAAGTTACATATTTCCAACTCCTGCAGCTGCTGCTTCTAAAGTGCCTCAGATGCTCAGAAGCTCATGATGCGCTGCTCCTGCTGCTCTAGATGCTGCAGGAGCTTTTGCTGCTCCTTGACGCGCATCAACCATTGACTTTGCATGTAAACCAGCTGCTTCTGCTGCTTGCTGTGTCAACGTAGTGTTAAAGTTCTAACAAACTTTGTCTGGTTCTGTCTTTTTTGGACCTCTAGCAGAGACTGACTCACAACATGGTTCTGAACCAGCAAACATCCGTGTCCTAACCCTCTACTGAGCCCAGAACTTTCAGAACCACAGGGTTTGACCGGTTTCTTCTCATGTAAACAGAACCTGGCCCACGATGTTCTGAAAACAACCTGAACAAGAGCAATCATTCAGTTCTGATAGGTGGCTGAGTCTCACATTGTTTGTTGCCACAGCAGCAGGTTTGTCCTCCTCCTCCTCCTCCTCCTCCTCTTCCTCCTCCTCGCCGTCGTCCTCCTCCTCTTTCATGGCCTCCTCTGCCTTCGGATCCCCTCGGCTCTGCTCTGGTTCCGGCACACTGGAAAAATCTGGTTCTCCGTGGGTGGGGTTCAGCTTGTAGTGTCGGTTCAGGCCTCCAGGACCAATGTAGGCCTTATCGCAGGTCTGACACCGATGGCGCCGGGACTTCAGGCTGTAGCTGGCAGACGAAGGGCTGTCGGAACCGGACCCAGCCCGTTTGCCATTCTCCTCCTCCTCTACACTCATGTCAGAATAATCGTCCGAGTCCGACTGGTGGCTCTCAGCCAGGTCCTCCGTCTTTATGAACTTGTAGTCCTTAGCTTTGTACTTGGGCGGCCTGGAAACCCGACCGGACCGGGTTTGGACCTTCAACGCCTTCTTCTCTTTTTCTTGGCCTTCTTCTTCTCTTTCTCTCTGTCTCTCTCCTTGACACCAGAGGCTAGGGTTACCGGGGCCGCTTTGGGGGCCACAGTCAGGGTGGTGGGCTGAGGAGCCGCCGGAGCCGCTTTAACCGGATCCTTCCCAGCAGCTGGTTCCGTGCCGTTGTGTGGCGCCTTAACCAGAGAAACGCTAACAGTTTTAGCAGGAGCAGAAGGAGGCGCCTTACAGCTGGAGGCCGGCAGATCTTTGAGAGTGGACGCCGTGGTCACCCTGATGGTGGAAAGCTTTTGACCCGGACTGGAGGAGCTGGTTGCTACGGCAGCCGGGCCTGTCACCTTGTGGACCAGGGGCAGCAGAGACCCGACCACAGGGGTGGCGTTCTGCAGCAGCAGCTGTATGGCGGGCTCCCCTGGGTTCTGCTGCAGCAGGATCTGCTGACCCTGCTGACCCACCATGGGCTGGATGTGGATGATCTGCGCGTTGCTCAGACCGGCTGACAGCTTCACCTGAGGGTGACTGATGGTCACCGTCTTCTGCTGCAGTGTTTTCACCTCCTGCTTAAGAGGAACTTGGATCTGAATCCTTGTAGGTTCCGACTGGAAAGACAAAAACACAAAGAAAGAGATTATTGGAGCTGAAGTTATGATGGAAAATCATTGCAACCATGGAAACATCTGAAGGGGGGGGCTTGTAAAAGACTGAGATGCTAGATGTGAGGTTATCCTGCCATAACCCTTGACTACTACAGCAGTAGTAGTCAATCAACACGAGGAAGAGAGTTAATGTGATGGAAACGGAGCAGAATGTGTCTGGATCAGTTACTGCAGGTTGAATAAAGATAAAAACAGTCATCCTCCCTGGTCCTGGTCACTGTGCTGATAGTAGAACAGCACAACCATAGGAAACCATGAAGGGATGTTGGTGAATTTTACTTTTTCATCAATCTATCTCTATTCTCCCACTCTGCAGAATTTCTCAGTTCAATCTCTAATGTTCTGCTCTTTCTGCTTTTTCTCATAGTAGCTTCATCTGGTCTGTTCCTGTTTGGCTATGACTCCATCCTGGAGAGAAATATCAGATCTGTTGCTGCCATCAACTCTTTGTTTCTAGATGTTGGAGCTTGGCCTGTTTTCCAGTGTAGTCCTGTTTCTCTGACTGTGACTAACTGGATGTGCTCTCTTCATCCTCTGACATGGAAGCTGGCTCGGAGCTCGTCTGCCTGGCTGTGTGTTTCCTGAACAGGGCCGCCTGTGGAGCTGGTTGACAGTTGCCTTTTGTATCTATGCTTCTTTTTCTATGTCTGCTTCTGTCTCCTTGAATCCCAGTCGGCCTCAGCAGATGGCCGCTCACACTGAGCCTGGTTCTGCTGGAGGTTTCTTCCTGTTAAAAGGGAGTTTTTCCTCTCCACTGTCGCTACAAGCATGCTTAGTGTGAGGGATTGCTGAAGAGTGAATGAGTAGATGCTGCACAGGGAGGCATTTCTACTGCGTGTCTCTGTGGGTGGGTTCAGCTTGTAGTGTCTGAGTGGGGAGTACCAGCATGGCGGACGGTGGCTTCACTTTTTTCAGCCAATCAGCAGTCCATTAAATAAATAGAGATCATTGAATGAGACACCATGCCATCATCAGAGGGATTTTAATACGTTTCACTTCTTTAGGAGCAGAGGGAACTACACAGACGCTCCATCACTGCCAGACCTTTGAGCTTTAACTGATTCTGACAAGTCTCGCTGTTAGTCGTGATGATCCTGAAGATCAAAGATTCCCTTCATGCCTTGGAGCGTGAATGTAAGCGATTATCTGGATCTTAGAATCAAATGTGACCCCTTCCTGCTGCTCAGCCTCCATCTTCCCCTAAGGGCGAGGCACTCCAGTCACCACCGCTCTCATTGGGCTGCCGGTCTCTCCTGTTCCAGGCGATCGGTGACATTTTTCAGCTAGCAGATGAAGCAGGCTGACTTAACCCAGAACACTGGTTGGTGGTTCATTGATTTATAACGCCACATAAACCCTCCATGTGATTTGCAGCCTGACAGGATGAGGCAAGGGAAAAAGAAACCTACTCTACTGTCAATGTTAAATTCAAACCTGTTTTCAGACACAAAAAAAAATATAATAAAAAAACTTGAAGATAGACTGATGCAGAGGCGTAGCCAGAAAATGTTTATACGGGTGTCCAGGTAATAACCAATGTACACTGAGGGGTGGCTGAAAGTGAATCCCGAACCTCAGGGTCAGTCTACACTGTTCCAACAGGAAAATTAACGAGAACAAGGTCCATATTTTCTAAATAAAGACAAGATATACTATACCTACAGACTTTGCTAACAAAATAGAAGCATATATTTAAACATGTATTTAGATAAAAGGTATAATGGATAAAATTCTTTCAGGTTTGAGTTTTGCAGCGAAAATCTTTTCCATTGTCATTACTTACCAACTTTTAACAATAATCATTCTGCATAAAATTGATATTTACAAGTACTAAAATCTACATAAATTGATTATTTAATACGCTTTTATTAAAATAATTATTTACCTATGATTTCACTGAAGACTGCTGGATGACTTGCAGAGATACATCATTTTCTCTTTATCCCATAAAACACAAAATCTAGTTCTGAAAAGAGCATAAATTCTGGATTTATCATCTTTAATGTTAGGATATTGATGATGCATAATTAACCAGTGTTTTTGTTGTCAGGTAATTGTTAATAAATGAAAACGTTTTGAATATTCCACTTGAGAGTATTACTTTTACCGTTATTAAGCCGGGCATACACTGTGCGATATTTGCAATGGTTGCACGCAGCTACAGCTCAAACTGTACAACTAAACCACAAGCTTTAAAAGTTCACAGCTCACGATGTTTGTTCTCACGCTGTGCGACCCGACGCTCCGATGCTAAATGAGTTTCATACTAAATCACCCCCATTCCAAAGGGGTGGAGCCAATCGTCCGTTTCAATTTTCATGTTTTCTGAACAAAAAAAAGGCTTTGTTGGGCTACTGTATAAAGCCTAGAACTCTGAACGCCATTTCTGACATTTTGAATTGAAAAATCTTCCTGGATGGGAAGAGAAACGTCTTCAAACTTGGAAACAAAGTCCAGTGGATTTTAACTTTTTTGGAATTTCATAAAAAAAATAATAAAACCCTGCTTTAAAGTCATAGGGAAGCGGCTGTTTCAACCGTTGCATTTCCGAATTGATTGTGATTGTTCGTTTATCAAGGGGGCGGGATTGTTGTGGCGGAAGGTTCGCAAGCAAGTTTGGTTGTAGCTGGTTTTTCGGAAGCATCTTACTAACCAGTTAGCAACTTAGTGCTAGTAGGTTAGCAATGGGAAATTCCATTGGGAGCAAGTAGCATTAAATTGGTGACTTAGAAACGACACTGTCAAGGAACACTATGGACAGCGGAAACATGCAAGAGGAGGAGAGTTTGGTGTCAGAGGTCGTGGATGGGTCTCCTCCGTCACACATTTTTTTATTTAGAGGAGGAAAGCGGGGACATAGTTGTTGTGGAAGAGGACGCCACGGCGGCAGAAGCTTGGTTTGGTGTAGAAGGCTTACAGCCATACATGTTTGAGCCCTTGCCTCACAACGCTGCCAGTTCTGTTAGCTCTACGCCTGCTGAAGACACAGACGTCCATCCCCGTGAACACTGGGACGGAACTCAATGGGAAAAGAAATTATTCTAATTTCAATCGTTACGTATATTAGCTGCGACATATGAATCAAGATGCTATGACTGAAAACATTTGATTGACAGATGATCGTTGATATATGATTGGATAAATTTAGATGTTCAGGCTGACGTAGAACTAACTGGTCTGCATAAGATAACGAAAAAAAAAAAAACTCAGATTTTAAGACAGAATTTTTTTTTTTATAGAAATTTTCAAACTTTTGGGAAACCGTGGTCCGATAAAGAGTACATTTATATAGATGTTCAAGCCAGAATTATTTGACATTAAAACTTTAATGCATAGACCGGGATTAAAAAGCTTTTCCTCTGTGGACCAACCTCCAAACATTTCCTGCTCCTGCGTTTCTGTATTGAGGGAATTTAAGGACTAGTGAAGGCATCCCCAAGGCGGTCCTGGAAGGCCGCTGTCCTGCAGGTTTTAGAGGTTTCTCAGCCTCAGCACAGCTGATTCTGATTAATGTAGTTCAGCAGAAGCCTGATGATCAGCTATCAATGGAAATCAGCTGTACCTCTAAACCCTGCAGGACAGCAGCCCTCCAGGGCTGAGTTTGGGGATTCCTGCACTAGTGTGAAATCAGTCTAAAGCAGCTCAGACCTGAGAGATGATCCTGCAGCCCTGTGGGAGGAAAGGGGAACTTCCTGATGGAGCCTGAACTCACCTGGACCACAGTGCTGGACTGCAGGGCCACCTGCTGCGCCACACTTTTCAGCTGAGTGGAGGCGTTCTTCTGAGGAGACACCTTCAGGGTCTGTGGAGGAACCTGGACTTGCTTCTGCTGGGTCGGAACCTGGACCGGCTTCTGCTGGGTCGGAACCTGGACCGGCTTCTGCTGGGTCGGAACCTGGACCTGCTTCTGCTGGGTCGGAACCTGGACCTGCTTCTGCTGGGTCGGAACCTGTTGGATCTTGACTTGCTGCAGGTTGTCCTGGTTCTGAGACTTGGTGACCTGGTTTATGACCTGCTGCAGCTGACTCGGATCCAGAGAGGTCTTGTGGACCGGGGCGGCTTTGACCAGCTGGCTGTGCTGGAGCAGCTGGACGGCCTCGGTGTCAGAAACCTGAACGATCTGCTGCTTGCTGAGCTGACTGAGCACCGCCTGCTGCTCCTCCACCGTTAGCCCGGAGCTCTCCACCAGGCTGCCGTCTGGCTGCACGTAGATGATGGTGGTGTTAGCCAGGTCTGTGAACTCTGCGCCCACCACCACCCGCTGCTCCACCTGACAGCCTTCTGCTCCACTCAGGGACTGCTGGCTGCCATCCGCGCAGGACCCGGGCTCTGAGCTCTCTGCGGGCTGCTCGCACTCAGCCACCAGAAACGTCGATACCTTCTCCTGGGGCTGTAGCACCTGGGCGACAGGCTGGCCTGCTGTAGGCTCCGCAGACTGGCTGCTCAGGGAAGCCTCTGTCCCTGGCGGCTCCGCCACTGTTATTGTTCCGATAGCTCCGCTATCACCCTCTCTGTCCGCCATTTTAGCTTTGGGGTTAACCGTTAGCTTACACTGGGGGCCTTGCTGCTGTTCGCCGTTTCTTCAGAGAATATCGCTGAATAAAAAGTCCTTTATAAAACCGGCTTGTGCTGGTAGGTAAAGCCCTGCGCGGGAATGAATGGCAGCATTGATGGAAGCGCTGGAATCTCTGGAAGCTGAGAGTTAGCGGGAGGAGTTTTGAACTAGCCTAGCTTAACCCTCCGCGGCAGCGGTTGCGTAGAACTCCCGGAGCGGAACCAACGGAGCGGATTCAGTCCGCGGTCCAAAACACGACGACAAACTGCTTCTTCTTCTTCTTCTTTACATTTTTTTTTTTTTTTTTGCGGTTGGCAAACAACAGATGTATTTCCGCCATCTGCTGGAATGGAGTGTGGACCGAAATGACTCTCAGAAACTAAATTCTATTATAAAAATGTGTTACTTTTAGATATAGAAATATTATTCTGCAAATGTTACTGTCTTAATAATTCAAATAAATCTAATTTAACTTTTTCTTTACTTAAATTTAGAATTAATTGGGGGCACTTTCCAATTCACCGGATCATTCAGTTAAATTGATTCAAAGTTTTCTATCTAAGGAAAACCAGCTGATTGCATCGACTCATTGACTCTTCAGCAATCCCTCACACCAAGCATGCTTGTAGCGACAGTGGAGAGGATAAACTTCCTTTTAACAGGAAGAAACCTTCAGCAGAACCAGGCTCAGTGTGAGCGGCCATCTGCTGAGGCCGACTGGGGTTCAAGGAGACAGAAGCAGACATAGAAAAAGAAGCATAGATACAAAAGGCAACTGTCAACCAGCTCCACAGGCGGCCCCGTCCAGGAAACACACAGCCAGGCAGACGAGCTCCGAGCCAGCTCCCATGTCAGAGGATGAAGAGAGCACATCCAGCCAGTCACATTCAGAGAAACAGGACTACACTGAAAAACAGGCCAAGCTCCAACATGTAGAAACAAAGGCGTTGATGGCAGCAGCACAGCTGATATTTCTCTCCAGGATGGAGTCACAGCCAAACAGGAACAGACCAGATGAAGCTACTATGAGAAAAAGCAGAAAGAGCAGAACGTTAAAGATTGAACTAACAGATTCTGCAGAGTGGGAGAACAGAGATAGAATGATGAAATGGGGGACCCTATGTCCTCCAGCAGTCTAAGCCTATAGCAGCATAACTATAAAAATAGCACAGGATAACCTGAGCCACTCTAACTATAAGCTTGATCAAAAAGGAAAGTTTTAAGCCTAACCTTAAAAGTAGACAGGGTGTCTGCCTCACGGACTAAAACTGGTAGTTGGTTCCACAGGAGAGGAGCCTGATAACTAACTGTTCCTGCGGAGGATGAGCAGACCACAGCAGACCACTGAATTACTGGGAAACTGGAAAGTTAATATAAGAGAAACTACATCATATTCAGTCTACAATAACTAAAGGTGATCTTTCTGTATTCTTAAACAGTATTTAAATTTTCCCATCTAATGTACTTCCAATATAATATCTTTATTGTTCAGTGGAGGGATAGAATAAAGTCAGGGTTTTATTTTTAAAACCAGAGGTGGGGATTTACCATTAGGCAATACTAGGTAATTGTCATTTGAAAACAAACCATGCAAAGAGCAGTGTTGCCAACTTAGCACTTTAGTCGCTATATTTAGCGACTTTTCAGACCCCTCTAGCACTTTGATTTCAAAAAAAGCTCCTAGCGCCAAATCTAGCGACTTTTTCCTGCTACTGGAGACTTTGGCGACAACATCTAAAAGCAGCGAACTCTGCTCTCCAGAGCCAGTAGATTGGTAACCTTGCCTCCTGCTCTCCTCTATCTTGTCTGCTGTCATGATTCATGCAGCTATTATTTCATCCAAATGAAAAATGGAGAACAGATAAGCAGATCTTGGCTTGTCTACAGTGAAAAGAAGGACTGGGTTATTTACTTTAGCCTTTTTGGAAACACAGGAAGGAGCAATCAGCTAAGTGAGCTTAGAGCTTGGAAAAATCTTTCATTCCTTTAGAGACAGCATGAAAAGTCAGCTGAGTACAAAACATAGAGAGGAAAACAACAAGAAGAGAGGGACAAAACCTAGAACAAATAATGGATGTCTATTCTATTAACATTTCTCTATCTGTAGAACGGGGCTGATTTATGTGTTGTCTTCTCAGTTCAGAGGCCCCCCTGCCTGTCTTTGCCTAGGGCCCCACATTTCCTAAATCCGCCCCTGGACAGTGGATGGAAAAGTGGATTTAAATTGGATAAATGGTTTTGACTAAAGATCAACCAAGAAGAGGAGTAAGGCCGTAGCAAAGGTTGGTAGATGGATGCCCAAAGAATCAAAATAGATGATTTTAAAGGGGAGGATAAATCCAGTTTCCTGGTTTTCCAGTTAGCCTATCCAAATGAAGTCATTCATTTTCTAAAGACCATGGTACAGAGACAAAGAAAAAGCTAAAAAAGTTCATATTTTCTAAAGAAGTCCAATTAATGTTAGAACCTGTTAATATATTTAAATGAAGGAATCTGCAAAAAAAAAAAAAAGACATGAGGCGCAGACACGGATGTTTCCACGTGTGGCCGGTAGGAGGCGCAGTTTGACGGTCTGATTCAGACAGCTACTGTACATGCTGGGCGATGGCACCTGTCCGCATTTAAAACCCACTCCACGAAAACTCCAGGGGTTAACATCTGGATGCGTCCTCCGCCAGACTGGGCTCCCAGTAGGTAACGGCCTCTTCCTCCTCCTGCGGCCGGTATTCAGCTCTGCCTGCTGGAGAAGCTGCTCCAGAGGATGCTAGCTAGCCCGGAGGAGCAGCTCTCTGAGAACCACCATGTTTGTTGTTTTTAATGTGTTCTGTTGAGTCACTTTGAGTTTGTTTGCTGTGAAAAGTCACATTGTCCTCTAGCCCTTAGAGCTAACATTACTCTGTGCCGCAGAGAACCGTCCATTGGACACGGAAACACTTTAATGTTTAGCCTGACACACAACACAACGATGAGACATTTATTTATCAGCTTTCAGGAAATGCTCCTGGTCGATTCGCGGTGAACCAGGGGGATCAGTGATTGCATTTATTGAGGCGTGATCATTTCGGGGTTTTATTTTCATCCGGCTGCTCGTTAACGCCCCCCTGTGTTATGATGCATTCCATTTACCTCGGAAATCTGAGATCAGGTCTGAAAACCGTCACTAGAAATTCCGCTTTGCTGGAGCCGAAAGTCAAGTAAAAGATCTGACATGGACTGTGTTTGATATCCTCCATAATCCACCAATCACTAGACACAGAGCAGTGACTATTCACCAGGCTAGCTATAGCACCTAGTACTAGGCTAGATATAGCACCTAGAACTAGACTAGATATACCACCTAGTACTAGGCTCGCTATAGCACCTAGTACGAGGCTAGATATAGCACCTAGTGCTAGGCTCGCTATAGCACCTAGTACGAGGCTAGATATAGCACCTAGTACTAGGCTCGCTATAGCACCTAGTACGAGGCTAGATATAGCACCTAGTGCTAGGCTCACTATAGCACCTAGTACTAGGCTAGCTATAGCACCTAGTACTAGGCTTGCTATAGCACCTAGTACGAGGCTAGATATAGCACCTAGTGCTAGGCTCACTATAGCACCTAGTACTAGGCTAGCTATAGCACCTAGTACTAGGCTAGCTATAGCACCTAGTACTAGGCTAGATATAGCACCTAGTACTAGACTAGATATACCACCTAGTACTAGGCTCGCTATAGCACCTAGTACGAGGCTAGATATAGCACCTAGTGCTAGGCTCGCTATAGCACCTAGTACGAGGCTCACTATAGCACCTAGTACTAGGCTAGCTATAGCACCTAGTACTAGGCTCGCTATAGCACCTAGTACGAGGCTAGATATAGCACCTAGTGCAAGGCTCACTATAGCACCTAGTACTAGGCTAGCTATAGCACCTAGTACTAGGCTCGCTATAGCACCTAGTACGAGGCTAGATATAGCACCTAGTACGGGGCTAGATATAGCACCTAGTGCTAGGCTCACTATAGCACCTAGTACTAGGTTAGCTATAGCACCTAGTACTAGGCTCGCTATAGCACCTAGTACGAGGCTAGATATAGCACCTAGTACTATGCTCGCTATAGCACCTAGTACGAGGCTAGATATAGCATCTAGTGCTAGGCTCACTATAGCACCTAGTACTAGGCTAGCTATAGAACCTAGTACTAGGCTCACTATAGCACCTAGTACTATGCTCACTATAGCACTTAGTACTAGGCTAGCTATAGCACCTAGTACTAGGCTAGATATAGCACCTAGTACTACGCTCGATATAGCACCTAGTACTAGGCTATCTATAGCACCTAGTACTAGGCTAGATATAGCACCTAGTACTAGGCTAGCTATAGCACCTAGTACTAGGCTAGCTATAGCACCTAGTACTAGGCTAGATATAGCACCTAGTACTACGCTCGATATAGCACCTAGTACTAGGCTATCTATAGCACCTAGTACTAGGCTAGATATAGCACCTAGTACTAGGCTAGATATAGCACCTAGTACTAGACTAGATATACCACCTAGTACTAGGCTCACTATAGCACCTAGTACTAGGCTCGCTATAGCACCTAGTACGAGGCTAGATATAGCACCTAGTGCTAGGCTCGCTATAGCACCTAGTACGAGGCTAGATATAGCACCTAGTACTAGGCTCGCTATAGCACCTAGTACGAGGCTAGATATAGCACCTAGTGCTAGGCTCACTATAGCACCTAGTACTAGGCTAGCTATAGCACCTAGTACTAGGCTCGCTATAGCACCTAGTACGAGGCTAGATATAGCACCTAGTGCTAGGCTCACTATAGCACCTAGTACTAGGCTAGCTATAGCACCTAGTACTAGGCTAGATATAGCACCTAGTACTAAACTAGATATACCACCTAGTACTAGGCTCGCTATAGCGCCTAGTACGAGGCTAGATATAGCACCTAATGCTAGGCTCGCTATAGCACCTAGTACGAGGCTAGATATAGCACCTAGTACTAGGCTCGCTATAGCACCTAGTACGAGGCTAGATATAGCACCTAGTGCTAGGCTCACTATAGCACCTAGTACTAGGCTAGCTATAGCACCTAGTACTAGGCTCGCTATAGCACCTAGTACGAGGCTACATATAGCACCTAGTGCTAGGCTCACTATAGCACCTAGTACTAGGCTAGCTATAGCACCTAGTACTAGGCTCGCAATAGCACCTAGTACGAGGCTAGATATAGCACCTAGTACGAGGCTA